TGGCAAAGCAGGCAGAGTGGCACGGACAGTAATAATAGGCTTTTATAAAGTAAACAAAGTCATTCAATGGAGGTCTGGTTTTCTGTTGAAAGAATGAAGCCACCTCTGTTTTGGAATAGTTTTTTGGAAAGCGCTATCAAGTGCTCTGACTCACCTTTTGTTCTCTCCATTTTTCTCCCTTTCCACTATACAGCCCCAAGTGTACCATTGGTCTGCGTCGGAATCAGAATAAATGGAACATCAAAAAATGGAGTGCAAGTGTTCTTGCTTGAATAGTTATTTCCCTTTCACGCTGTCCCCTTCCACTGCCATTAGGCATAGTGTTAAGGGGCGGGGTGCACACCTTATGTGAACAGAGGTGCCACTTAGGATCTTAGCCACAGTAGTTTTGTAACAAAGAAACTGTGCAATTGAAACTTAAGGTGCACCCAGCCAACACATTCCATCAGTGCAAGGATTTATGCTTGAACAACAGAAATTTCCCCCTCTCCTGCCCTTGTACACACTCCCTAAATCGGTTGTATGGATTCCCCCAACGCTGCCAACCCAAGGACAATGATGGAAGGGAAGAGACCATGGATCATAGCTCAAGCCCCCAACCCAGAACCAGGCCCCTCAGTTGAGACTTTCTCTCTGGAAGCCCCTCAGTTCTGCCATTGCTCAGGGTGAGAAGGTGGTGTCATGAGTCTTGTGGAGGTGTCATGGAGCAGGTGGTCAAACCCAGAGGAAGAGTGGGAGGAACTTGGAGAGTGGGTGCTGGAAGACCAGAGGGAGAGTCATTGTGGGTTGCAGGTTATCAGTTCTTGGTTACTAGAGGCTTCTGATCCTAAGGAGAGACCCAGCGGCTTGGGGGCCAGAGAGCCAGATCCTGGGAAGGGCCCAAGTAGGTTAATAGAGAAGTCTTCCATCCTCCCTCTGGAGATGCCTAGTCCTTCACCTGCTGAGGAACCACCTTTGGTGCCTCCTATCACTCCGGAGTCTACTACCTCTAGAGAGGTGGCTAGCAGTAAGTCTGATGCTGAGCTGACCATGTCTCCATCTCCTTCATCACAGACACAGAGATGCCAGTGTCAGCCTGAACATGGCTCATAAGGCCAACCCACCCAAAGGAGTTCCTGCTTGCTTGTCCAGACTTGGGACTCTAGCTACTTCAACACTAAAGCTGTGCCCACCCCACTCTTTAAAAGGAAGGTTCAGCAGGTGTGTCACTTGTTCATTCAATAACTTAGTTTATGCTTTAAAAAAGGTAAAGGACCCCTGACAGTTAAGTCCAGTCACGAACAACTCTGGGGTTGTGGCGCTCATCTTGCTTTACTGGCTGAGGGAGCTGACGTTTGTCCACAGACAGTTTTTCTGGGTCATGTGGCCAGCATGACTAAGCCGCTTCTGGAGAAACCAGAGCAGCGCATGGAAACTCCATTTACCTTCCTGCTGGCACGGTACCTCTTTATCTACTTGCACTTTGATGTGCTTTTGAACTGCTAGGTTGGCAGGAGCTGGGACCGAGCAACAGGAGCTCACCCCGTTGCGGGGATTCAAACCACCAACCTTCTGATCGGCAAGCCATAGGCTCAGTGGTTTAGACCACAGTACCACCTGCATCTGCTTATGCTTAGCCATGTATTTAACCCGTCATGTACCTTCCGATTATTGTAACCTGTAACATGCTTTATGTACTAATCTAATCTGAAAATTAAAGCCTCTGGGAGAATGAATTGTGAGTTCAAGTTTTTCATTGGATGGGGAGGGACAGGACAGGCGGGGCCATGCAATGCTAGAGGGGAGGCCATTTCTCTGCACAGACTGAAATGTCAGGGAAGGATGAAAGCCTGGTGTTGTCTCCAATGAAAAAAAGACAGTCACGGAACAAAGAAATTACACAAAACAAAAGAATTGCCGTGAAAATCCCTGAAACGAGAAGTAATCGACTATAGAGTTAAATTAAATAACAAAAACCAAAAAGTTTAAGGAAAAATTAACCTAGAATTAAACAAAGACTTAACGAGATGCCGGCTACAAAACTCGTTTCACTGAACTAATCAGTTTCATCAGAAAGAAATAAAGAAATTATAAACCTTAAATGATTTTAAATGATTTCAAGCAAACTTAAGAGTATTGAAGTTTTCATACCTTTTTTTCCAAACTCAGAGATGCATTTCAGCCCTGCTCTTGAGTTTGTTTGATATCACTTAAAATCATTTAAGGTTTATAATTTCTTTATTTCTTTAAAACCCACCTCATATTCTCTGAGGTCACGTTCACACCATAAAGCACATTCAGTTTGCATTTAAAGAAAATGGCTCCCCCTCCCCCGAAAGAAAAAAATATCTGTGAAGTGTAGTTTTGTTTAGGGTACTGGGAATTTTAGCTCTGGGAGTGCTTTAAATGTGTGGTGCAGATGTGACCTGGGTTTTCTGTATTTTACATAGATTCATCGCATAATTGTACAGTATTTCCAATCCAGAAGACCCAATGTTTGCAGTGTGAAGTAACCATTAGATGAAAGAAAGGAATGTTGAAAGCCACCCAGGGTGTATCCAATGAAAATCCCAAGCTATGTTCCAGCAATCCAGTATGGTTCATAAGAGCAGAGGCCTTATGAAGGCAAAGTTTTGGCTGATAAATTCCACCCTTCCCTGCCACCCCCATTGCTTAATCAGTCGACTGTGGCAGAATCTCTTCTTTTCCCTTGCCTCCTCTCTTCCTCTCCCCCACAAAGCCTGCTTTTGCTATTGCACTTCTTTCTCCTGCATCACTTTCTCTCCTGTATTGCATGCATTGCACATCTTTCTTTCTCTTCTCTTGTGTTTTTGTGAGTGTTCATATACACACATTGCCTTTGGCTGTCTGTTTCTCTTGCTGCTTCATGCTGCCCTTTCTGTCTCCTCTCTCTTTCCCAAGGCTGATGCACGCACTTTTTGTGACAAGATTTCACCAGCACAGATGAAATATAAATAGTTTTTTCATAAATAGTTTTTTCATAAATAGTTTTTCCACCTGGTACGCAGGCTAAGACCCTACCTGCCCGCGGACTGTCTTGCCAGAGTGGTGCATGCTCTAGTTATCTCCCGCTTGGACTACTGCAACGCGCTCTACGTGGGGCTACCTTTGAAGGTGACCCGGAAACTGCAATTAATCCAGAATGCGGCAGCTAGACTGGGGACTGGGAGTGGCTGCCGGAACCACATAACACCGGTTCTGAGAGATCTGCGTTGGCTCCCAGTACGTTTCCGAGCACAATTCAAAGTGTTGGTGCTGACCTTTAAAGCCCTAAACGGCCTCGGTCCAGTATACCTGAAGGAGCGTCTCCACCCCCATCGTTCAGCCCGGACACTGAGATCCAGCGCCAAGGGCCTTCTGGCGGTTCCCTCATTGCGAGAAGTAAGGTTACAGGGAACCAGGCAGAGGGCCTTCTTGGTAGTGGCGCCTGCCCTGTGGAATGCCCTCCCAGCAGATGTCAAAGCAATATTTTACTTTTAAAAGTCATCTGAAGGCAGCCCTCTTTAGGGAAGTTTTTAATGTTTGATGCTGTACTGTTTTTAATATTCAGTTGGAAGCCGCCCAGAGTGGCTGGGGAAACCCAGCCAGATGGGCGGGGTATAAATAAATTATTATTATTATTATTATTATTATTATTATTATTATTATTATTATGCATTCTTATTACTGCTCGATATTCTGTTCTGATTTGTGGTCATCATGTAACTGAATAAATTACTGTGAAAGACTGAAGAGAATAATGGTCATGTCTGCAATAGAAGTAATCAGATTTGATTTTGAGTTTTGAGTTTTTTTCTGTAATTTTGTGCAATCTGCCCAGGCACCTGGGTCAAATCGGTATGTTTAGAAACATGTGGTCTCTTTCACAGATTGGAGTCCCAAGTATACTGAATGTTTATTTGCATCTGAGATGCAGATTTTTTAAAAATGCAGTGGGGGGGGGCCTGATAATTAACAGGATTCTTCTTCTGAAACTAGTGGGGGGAAATCTACTATTGGGAGATTTCCCTCAAAACCAGGAGGGATTTTTCTTGGGATCACAGAATGAGTGGTAAGGGCTAAATTTCCCTTTTCATGCCTGCCCTAATCCTCTTAATTCACTTGTACGTGCACGTACACACACACACAAAATGCAACTTGCATTTTAAAGAACCTACATTTTATATGCAAGGATGCACTTAACAACACAACACAGATGCACCATGCTTTGATGCATGGTGGGCTAGATGAGGGCCAATATGCTGAAGCTGAACCCTGACAAGATAGGAGGCCTCGTGAATGGATGGTTCTCATTCCTGGGAACTGGGCAATTTGCCTGTTCTGATGGAGCAAGTACGTCGCTCCTTGATCCATCATTGTCACTGGAGACCCAAATGACTGGTGACCAGGAATGCCCTTTACCAGCCATTCCTGGACAGGAATAGCTTTTCCACAGTGATCCATGCATTTGTAACCTCAGTGGTAGATTTGTAATTCCACGTGGGGGTGCCCTTTAAGCTGATTCAGAAGCTGCAGTGTTTAGGTTACTGAGTGGAGCTGTGCGACATCACTTATAAAAGGACTGCACTGGCTGCCAATTTGCTACTGAGCTAAGTTTGAAGTTCTTTTGCTGGCTTCTAATGCTCTGAACAATGTGAAACTACACTATCTGAAGGAATGGCTTCTCCCATGTAGACTTGCCTGTTTGCTGAGATCTTCAGATAAGTCTTTCTTGGTAGCTTGCTCACATTCATCTTACAACAACCTGGAGGAAAGCCCCTTCTGTTGAGGTGCAGAGCTTTTGCAACCACTTCATACATAAACTGAGTTTTTGACGCTTGCTAAATACTTATTTATCCACCCAGCTATTTACCCTTACACATCAGAATGCTCTTACACAAAGATGTGTGGGGAAAGTAAAAACAGACCAGCTTTTTCATTTAAAGATAATGCATTGCAATTTCAAAAATGAACCCATAAACTATGGATTTATTGTAAAGATCCTATTACATTTTTTTCAGAATTGTGTCTGCAATGGTAAAAGCCACTGTTCTTGTGATGCGATCAAAGGCAGTAAGGTAAGAGGTTGCATATTTACTTTTTTTTTTAAAGTACATAATAATTAATATTTGCATAATACTTTTGAGAGTTCAAGTGCTTCTCATATGTTATATGATTGTAATCCTCAGAGCAAACCTGTAAGGTAAGCTAGTATTATTATCCCCATGGCGAACTAAATTAACTGGTGGCGGCAGCAACATTTTGATATTTCAATAACTAGGACGTGATAGAACATTTTGAGATTATATGCTGTACCTTATACTAAAAACAGTGAAACAGTTTGGGCATCATTTCAGAAACGTATTGCAGAAAGAGTTCGAAACTCTGATTTGTGCATTCAGATCTGTAGTATTCCTGAGAAATCAGCTCACTTATAAGCATAAAGAAAGCTGAGAAAATTCTGTGTGCACAAAACAGTAGTGTGCCCCCTCCAGCGGCACATGTTAGAATAGCATGTCTAGAATAGAGAAAATAAAAATGAGCTGGCAACTATATTTATGGGCTAACAAGATTAGGGGCTTAGTTGGACCAATAGTAGGACTAATCAATATTCACTTAGTGTTTCATTTTGCTTTTTAACTTGTTCATAAATGACTAGAGATAGGGGTGAGCAGTGGGGTAGACAAGTTTTCTGATGATACTGATGGTGGTTTAAAAAGGGGATTGCAAATAGCTTCAAAATGATCTTTCCAAGCTGAGTGAATGGGCATTAAAATGTCAAATGCAATTCAGTGTAAACAAGTGTAAAGGGATGTACATTGGGGCAAAAAATAAATAAATCATAATTTTACATATTCAGTAATAATAATAATAATAATAATAATAATAATAATAATAATAATATTTATATCCTGCCCTCCCCAGCCGAAGCCGGGCTCAGGGCGGCTAACAACAATAAAACAGTATAACAGGGGTCTGAATTGGCAGCGATTGACCAGGAGCATGAGAATTCTTCTTCGCACAGTGTGTAGTTAAAACTCTGGAATTCTCTCTCCAAAGGGGCAGCGATGGCCCCCAACTTGGATGGCTTTAAAAGAGGGTTAGACAAATTCATGGAGGCAGCATACCTCTGAATACCAGTTCTGGAAACCAGGGGACAGGAGAGAGTTCTGTTGCGCTCAGGTCCTCCTTGCAAGCTTCCCACCAGCATCTTGTTGGCCACTGCGAGCACAAGATGCTGGATGAAATGGGCTACTAGCCTGATTTAGCAGGTTCTTCTTACATTTTTAGGGATAAAGATATTGGGTAGCATCTGATACGGCATGAATTGTGTTCCGTGAATGGCATACAACTTTCCATTCCTCTCCTCTCTCCATGCACCTCCAAAATTAATGTCGAGGGTATGGTGGGTGGGAGCAACTGCAGAGGAAAGGAAGGGAAAGCTCCATTGCATAAGTGGAGGTCTGCTGGGTAAGCAGAACAGCACCATTCAGTGCAGCCTATTATTTTATTGACCCTGATTAAATTAATCAATTTTTGTTTATACCATCACTGTAGCCTATACTATTATGCTAGTTACCGTAATAGTGCGGTACGCTGGTTTGACATCATCTGATAGGAAGTGCCTACAGAGGGTGGTGAATACAGCACAAGATATTATGGGCTGTTCCGTGAATTCGCTGGATGACATAATGGAAGAACGTTGCCTCAGGAGAGTGAGGAAAATTCTCAGGGATGATTCACACCCTGGCCGGCACTTTCTTGATCTCCTGTCCTCAGGCAGAAGATATAGAAACATGATTAGTCGCACCAACAGGGTAAAAAACAGCTTCTATCCATGGGCTGTCAGGCTGCTGAATGAAAAGATAACAACAGGGCAGCTGACTTTTGGGTTTGGTGGGTGTGCGTCAGTAAACGAGGGGAATTAAGACTAAGAGAGCTGGGGGGGGGTTGTGTAATCTCACTGTATACAAGTGACAATAAAGTATTTCAATTTCAATTTCAATTCAATTTCAAAATTCAATTTCAATCATCATTACACCTTGCAGAAAAAAATTTAAAAACATTTAAGTACAATATACAAATGTAACACTCCTGGTGTTTGAGAAATTCTTATGGATCGGTGCTTTCCCAGCTTCCTCAGCTTAGTTCTCAAGTGCAACATCAAACATAAAGTGGGATGTTGATGCCCGAATGTTCTTAGTGTCTGTGAGTCTATACTGATGGGAAGGCATGTGCTTGGATGGTTTTAAAAAAATAAAATAAAAATCCAGAATGTTATGTGAAGATCTGTAATGAATTTGCAGAAGAAATGACAACGGTGCAAGCAAAGTCTTTACACAGATTCTGTATTGCAGGGTGAAAAGGGCTTTCCTGGTTTCCCTGGTCCACCTGGTCAGATGGGTTTTCCTGGTCCAGAGGGTCCTCCTGGGCCACAAGGACCAAAGGTATGTTGTGATCCCTGGTGCATATTTATGGGTGCTGCAGTGTATGCAGATGGCAAGTGTGAAAGAGAGAACAATACCGAAAAAGTAAATGACCCCCCCGAGCTTACTGTTTAGTCCCTCTCTCTGACACTGACACTGTGCCCTACTCCAAAAGTAATTAAGTAAATTTGATTTGTCTGATCATAAGCTGCGGCAGCAAGCTGCGAAAGTCCAGTATGCTTTCATTGCATTATTTCTTCCATTCTCTAGTTCTTTCAATGCTGCCTGATTATAACAATAAAGATGCTACTTCAGTTGTGAAACAGAAGTTAAATAAGGGAGCAATTCTACAGCAAGATCTGCTGGGATGAGCAGGGGTAAAATGGGGAGAGAGTTTATCTGGCGAAAAGAGAGATGTAACTCAAGTACTACCTGTATTTTTAAGGCCTAATTTTCCCTCTTTCAGGCTTAGGCTGGCTCAGTCAACAGAAGACCTGCTCCCAGATTGAGTTTAGATCTGGAGCACTTTGTCCTGACTTAATTTACACCAGCCTGCCTTACAGCAAATTCTTGTGTATAGGATTGCTCCCTTAGATGGCAATCCTGAACCCACTTGGAGAAAGCGCCACTGTATTCCATATGACCTATTTCCCAGTAGAAATAATAATAATAATAATAATAATAATAATAATAATAATAATAATAATAATAATTATTTATTTATACCCTGCCCATCTGGCTGAGTTTCCCCAGCCACTCCAGACATGTTTAGACATGCAATCCCCAGACATGTTTGGGATTGTCCTGTACACTGGTATATTTCAGCACACTCCAGCGAAGGTTAAGCATTTTGAAATCCCGTTGATTTCAACATGAGAGTTTTAACAACATATTACACTTTCCCATTGACTAGTGAGATTTTTAAAGGGCTTGATGACTATGTGGCGGGCATTGCTGGGAACAGAGCAGGAAGCCTCAACACATACCCAGTCTATGGGAATTCACTAGGCTGCATAATTTCTGTGGATATGCAAAATATGTCTATGTACATATGATTTGAAAACCTGCTTTTCACATAAACATCTATGCACATTCTGTTCTTTTTTATTGTGTACAGTTAATGATTGAACCCATTTTAAAGCCTCTTGATTGAAAAAAGAGAACTAGCCATTTTCAAAATTGAGATAAAATGATGATGGTGTGTGTGTGTGTGTGTGTGTGAGAGAGAGAGAGAGAGAGAGAGAGAGAGAGAGGATCATGAATATTGTATTTTATATTTTCTTTTTCTATGCTATGCTATTCTTTTCTTTTGATATATTGCCTTTTATTAACTTTCTATAAAAGAGTTTAGATTTTATTGCTTGATACTGTATGTTAAAAACCTCTAATAAAATTCTACTAAGAATTAAGCTGGCTGGGAGAGATATAAATAAGGAAATCAATGTGGCCGCCCACAAAAAGGACCAGACTCTCTTTAATTTGAACTCTATACAAGAACAAAAACCCGGTGGCCTGTCGGCCACGTTACCTTCAGACAATGGCTGAGATTAATCTACTCCCAATCAAGGAGGCCCAGTACACCGAAGAGTACACTACATCACCTCCAATAGGGAGAACCATCCCCAAGGTGAACTCACCAGGCTCTTGGGACAAACTGAGGTACCTAGATGAGGCAGAGTTAGGCCACAATCAAGTCCCGGAAAAACACCTACAGAAAGAGATAACATACTTCAAAGGCCCGGTGACCACTAATGTCAGTATTCAACACTTACCAGCCGAAGCTATAGAACATTTGGCCAGTCTGCCATGCCCGGAAAACAATGGGCCGGCTCATAAAAGAGTAATCCCTAAAAGTTCCTTGGGAAATAATTGACAAAGATCAGACCAGAGGCAAACACCAGCCGGCTCCCTATCTCCGCGGAAAATTCGACACCATTAGAAACAAACAGGCTCAATCCTTACCTACAAACCAAGCAAAAGTAGTTCTTTCCCTGAAAGGCGCATCCAACCCACCCCAGAGCCTTAAAATTGTCTCCTGGAATGTTAACGGCTGGGCGACAAAGCAAATGGATCCTGAGGCAATAAACTTTATCTCTTCTTTTGACATTGTGTGCCTCCAAGAGACCTGGTCCCAACAAAGTATCACTCTCCCATATTATTGTTCCTTTAGCTCCTGTGCTCGCAAACTAGCTAACAGGGGTCGCCCTCAAGTTGGCCTCGCCTGTCTTATCTCAACCAGCTTATCCCTCACTATCTGCGAGGAACTTAAATCTTCCCCTTACTTTCTCACTATAAAGATCCACCTTCCAAAGACCAAAAGCCCATGGTTGATAACTACAGTATATCTGCCTCCAGCAATGAATGATTCCGACCGTAATGAAAGGTGGTCTGAACTTTCGTCTTGGCTTCATGACCTTCAAACAACTAACCCAGGACTTCCTCAAATCCTCTTAGGTGACTTTAATGCAAGAATAGGTCCCAACGACGATGCTATATTATCTTCCGCAGCACTTCTGGACAATCCCCTGCAGCACCCCTGGGGAAATAGATGCTCTCTTGATCCCATAACAAATGCGTCGGGGAGGCTGATGGCCCAATTGGCCATCGAAAACGATCTTTGCATCGCAAATGGCAACGTTACTCCCTTGTCCTCGCAGCAGTTAACGTACATCTCTTCCCGGGGGACCAGTGTTGTCGACTACATTCTATTGACGCCGGAGCTATTCTCAATTTCTACAAAAATGGAAGTGGGCTGAATATTTTGGTGGTGACCACCTTCCATTGACTTTAATGTTAAGCCTAATAGAGCCATTCTCAGTCCCCTCGAACTATAGTTCCACCGTACAAAGCTACCCTGTATATAAAACAAAGAAATGGACAAGCCTCAGCTCCTCTCTTGCCCTGGACATACAAAAATCACTTGATATGCCTACAGTTCTTTCTGACTCAATTCCGCCCGCTGACCAATACCGGAAATTAATTGATGCTTTTTCAACAACTTACATAACCATTACCTCGCCTACCACCAACGCTTCTTCTCCGAATCACCCTGGTTTGACAAGGAATGTAAAGTCCTAAGAAGGCGAATTAGGAAAATGGTCAGAATCATCAAATTTTCCAACGACCCCCACACCCGTGCAGAGCTTCTAGTTACTAAAAGGACATACAGAAACATGATTCATTGCAAGAAACAGCAACACATCCTTGAGGCTTGGTCCACTCTTCGTTCAGCTGTAGAGAGGCATGACTCCCGCTCCTTTTGGCGCTTAGTTAGGCCTTCGGCACCACCCAATTCAGCTATCCTGATTTCCGCTGACGAATGGATCGCTTATTATTCGGCCAGTTTCGCTTCTCCAAATAATCTTACAGATCACCTTCAATCCCCGTCGGACCTCTGTTCCCGTTCTCCTAGCTCCACCTCCTCAGTAAATTTTACCTCAACCCGCATCTTCAACATCATAATGTCCATGCGTAGGAATAAGGCCCCGGCCCAGACATGGTCCCGTTGGACCTTTTCCTGACTGATCCTCTTTGGTGGAGTGAACAGCTGACTTCTGTATTCACCGCTATCTCCTCCGCCTTAGACATCCCCGACTCCTGGAGAGAAGCTACAATAGTCCCGATTTTCAAAGGCGGCCAGCCAAACATCCCTAGGAACTATCGCCCCATCAGCTTACTATCTATTCCGGGGAAAATATTTGCCGCTGTCTTACTGGAAGAACTTCTTTCATGGGTCCATGAGAGAAACATTCTACCGCCAGAACAGATTGGCTTCCGGAAGTCAGCATCAACCATGGACCACTGTCTAACTCTTTATCACCTTGCCAGTAATACACTGCACCAAGGCAAGGCCACCTGTTTGCCGCTTTCATGGACCTGGAGGCCGCCTTTGATTCCATTCCTAGACAGAGATTATGGTCCAAACTTGCCCATTTGGGAATTGATCCACACCTCCTTTCCCTAATTATTTCCCTTTATTCAAACACCACAGCTCGCGTTCGAATTGGTCCCAACGGCTACCTTACCACCCCATTCCCAACGGCCAGGGGCGTCCGACAAGGTTGTCTCTTGGCCCCTTTACTGTTTAATCTTTATCTTCATGACGCCCTTTCCCCTTTGAAGCTAGCAACTAAGTACCCTCCTCACTTAGCAGGCCACCCCGTTGCTTCCCTTTTCTATGCGGACGATGCCGTCATCTTATCCAGAACAGCTGCGGACCTAGCAAATGCAGTTAATGCATTTATCGCCTATTGTAAGGCGGAAGCTCTTAATATTAATTATAAAAAATCGAAAGTTCTCCACTTCACTCGTTCCCGCAAACTCAAGCTGGAACCGCTTAAGATCACAGGTGGCTACTTAGAAAAGGTAAAAGCCTTTAAATATCTAGGCTTAATATTTACTTATAATCTCTCCTGGACCACCCATCTACAATCTGCCTCTCTTGCTGCAACTACAACCTCTAATGCCATTGTCCGATTTTATCACCAGAAGGGCGGCAAACACCTTCCAGCAGCAATTCAAATGTTTAATGCCAAAGTTGTCCCTAAACTATTATATGGCTGCGAAGTATGGACTACAGCAATATCAGGTAACTTGGATCGCCCACTTCACATGTTTCTGAGATCTCTTTCCGGCGTCCCAAGATGTGTCTCAGGTGCAGCCTTACGTCTTGAGTTCGCCCAGCCCTCAATTGTAAAACGAGCATGGAGTCGAGCCATTTCCTACAGCTCCCACCTACTACCATCGGATGCTCGAATTAGAGGTGGTTTCTCCAATCTGATCCTAAGAGATATTCATAATTCTCCTTGGAAAACTACAATTAATCTCAAATTCCGCTCTCTTCTCAATTTGAACCGCAAAACTGTTTTTAATTTAGAGTGTATAAGCCCGGCAGCCCTACCTCTAATCAAAAAGAAGCTGCAGCAACTTGACTTCTCTAACACAGCTTCCCATGCAAGAGGGCCGTGTTCAGGCTTAGCCCTAGCTATTCCACCCCCTGAAGGGATCCCTCTATACTGCTTTACAATTCCTTCGGAGGCTAAACGAAGGGCCTTTACCTGTGCCCGTCTCAACTGTTTTCCTACAGCAGTTCTGTCGGGTCGTTACTCCAGAGTTCCCAGCGCAAATAGAACATGCTCCTGCAATGACACGGTTCTGGAGACTATGGAACATGTAATGCTCTTCTGTCCCAACTGGACAGATGAAAGATCTCGGTTCCTAACTCCTCTCGTGAACAAGCTTCATCTCCCAATCCAGCCTTGGATAGTGTCCCTTCTTCTGCAGGATTCTGACCGTTGGATTACCGAGATGACAGCTAATTTCCTGCTTAGTGTGATGAAGAGGAAAGCGGCACCAACTCCTTCCTCAATACCACAGATGTAGTCGATACGCCGCACAATCGAACCTGTTTTTTGTATTCTCTGTCACTCAATGTTTTAAATCTCCCGTTACCTTTGTTATCCCCATTTTCTCAAAGTATTCGCCCAGAACGGCATACACTTTTATCTCCCCACCCCCATTTTATGTTGTTATTTCTATGTATATTATGCTATGGCCGCATGGCTAATGCAATAAAATCATTATATATATAATAAAATTCTATATAAAAGAAAAAAGAGAGAGAACTAGCACATCCTATGTAATGAAAATTCTGTTATATTGCTGGTCCATTTTTTTTATTGCTATGTATTTGCCCCAAGAGATAGGTAAGAAATAGTTCTTTTAGACAGATTTTTTACAGAAAAATATTTTGTGCTTCCAATTCTGTTGCTGTTATTATTATGGCTGTATTTTTGCTAAAGTTCCCCCCCCCCTTAAAAGAAAATATTCATTGTGGGGTGTGTGAAGTAGTAGTCACTGGAGTTGGATTGGTTTTTGCCTGTTACTTGAATTCTTTTGATCATTAGACTAGAGTATAACAGATATCAAACGCCAGAAGAACAGATTGTGTCTTTGGACCTTCTACAAAAAGACAGGAATTCCAGTATAATTAACTATTGTTTCCTTTGCTTCCTAGGGTTTTCCAGGGCCAGCGGGCTTTGTTGGGCCTAAAGGTTCAAGGGTTCGTATTTTGTTCAGTAATATATTAACTTGCAGTGTTCAGAACAGCAACAATTCTCAATTTTCTAAAAATGATGGACATGATCTCAGTGGTGCTATGATGTGCTTTTTGATAAGTGAAATGCAGCTGCAGGGGACTGCCAATTTTTTGGGAAGCAGTGCTGGGATTGGGTTGGTGGTTAGGCTGTCACACGGGGTTGTTGTGAGGATAACATGGGGAGAGAAGGAACCATGTGTGCAACCTTAAACTCTTTAGTTGGTGGAGTATCCATGTAACACATAATTAAACATTTCCACTGTGCCATTTTTTTCCATGCTACTTTGCCCCCAGGAAAGCAAACAGGGGTGCCTGTATTTCCTTTGCCACTGCAGGGCAAACAGCAAAGAGTTTGTGGGGGGCAGTTTTAATCAGGAAGATATTGTGCAGGAAATGTGTTAAACAATGCCCCGCCTCACTCATACATATTCTCTCTCTCTCTCTCTCTCTCTCTCTCTCTCTCTCCCATGCACACACAGAGGAAAAAGAAAGAGAGAGTTCTGAGAAAATTGTCCGCACTTCACAGCTGTATTATAGTGTGGAAAGTTGGAAGAAGTAATCATGTTTCTATGTGCTTGCACACTTTTCAAAACCTATGTATTTCTTTGTTTTATGCAATAGCATACTTTTGTATGGTAACGTACGCTGAATGTAGGATTGCACATGTGAATATTATGGTAAACAACTGTTTCCCTAACAGAAATACTTAATCCTGAATCAATGTGTTCAACAGCTTTTTAAAACTACAGGCAATGTCGACAAACACAGTATTTACTATTAGTGGGTACTTTCCAAATATCAACTGCACGTGAAATAAACAACTTACTAAAAAGAAGCATGTACAATTATTTCTGAGATGGAAATCCTACTCCTTAAAAGCCACACTACCCATCTCTAGGTTTATTTATTTCTTAAATCATGAAAGCAATGTCCAGTGTCCCATACTCTTCAAATACAGATTTAAATAGCCAGTGCACTACCAGTTCAGATACAGCATAATCTTTTTTTTAATAATAAAAAAGGCTTTTATAAATGAATTTCCTCATGCTTGGCTCAGTGACGGATCCTACAGCATTCTGGTGATGCAAATAATAATATGGCACAAACAATGTCATGAATGCCATTTGTTAAGCAAGTTCATGGAAACTAAGCACAAGGAGAGATCAATACATTTGCTGTCCTGGGATTGTTTTGGTCTGCTAGGTGAATTAAGGCTTACTTGTATAATGGTACTTATCCTAGCCTTAGCACAGTCCGTTCTTTTGGATCCTTGAACAATTACAACTCCACAACTTTAGATAATAATAGGCTTGTTTTATTAAAAAAACAGCCTACTGACTGATTTCTTTCTGTGTTTCTTCTTACCATCAGGGTTTGCCAGGAGTCCCTGGTTATTCAGGTCCCCCAGGCCTTCCTGTAAGTACAACAAAACTTAATTGAGCAGCTTCAATATTGACGTTACTGATGCTAATAAACCTTTAAGATAATGGAGGCAATAATAATCTTAAAGGTTTATTAGTATAAGTGCGCTATTACTGAGGCACAATGGTATTCAGTTTTAATAAACCAGCCGCCCATACAGTCAAAAGGCTATTACGAGTAAGTTTGCACTAATAGCTACCTTGGCAATGTTCTAACTACTTTTAGGGCGAAGCAGGAAATGCAGGTGCTCCAGGACGTCCAGGTATACCAGGTTGCAATGGGACAAAGGTAAGAACGAAGCAAGAACCAATTGTGGACCACCTGTAAGAGGAAGAGTTGGTAAAGCATCACACTGTGACACTTTATCCCTAGGATAAGGAGCCTGGGGGAGGTGTGTGCATGTGCAGTTAGAGAGCACATTTCTTGGGACCCATGCTTTCTCCTTCCTCAGCTTCTCGCTCACTGTCTCTCTATTTTCCAGGGCGAGCAGGGATTCCCAGGATTCCCGGGGCAAGGAGGGCTCCCAGGATTACCAGTAAGTTTCAGTTTATGGTAGTCAAATGTGCCTTATGTAGAGCTTTCTCATTCCAGGGGTTCAAAGCACCACATACTAACTGACTGGGAAAATCCTGAGGAGAGAGGCTGGGAAATGTGTTGCAAACTATCAAATGGAAGCTTGTAGTAAAGGACAAAATCACACAGCAAGTACTTGTGTCCCAAGCTTGGGCCACTGAATAGATAGGGGGTTACCTTTTATCATTAAAGCCACACGATATCCTGCTGTTCTACTCTGATGGTTATCTGGAAAGTCATTATTGCTACACAACAAACCATTCAGATACTTTTAGGTATCTTCTGTTATCATTATTAACTTAGTTTGGGCATCAGTTTCCAAATTGTAAGCAGCCCAATTTGCAAGTTCTTTTGATTTCAATATTTCACTGTTTCAATACTGTTTCATTCTATATTCAAGTGACAATATGAGAAAACACTCTATTAAAAAACATAGTTTAGGAAAATATCAAAAGTTTATTATGTTTGATAATTTCCAATAGTAAAATCGGCAAGTTTGCCTCGTATCTTTCCTTTTTCTGTGATCCTGCTATTTCCACCTATATTTGACAGCAATTGTAAGTACTTTGAAATTTTAAATACATTACTTGATTTGTAGGGCTCCATTGCAGAATTTACCTGCATAAGTTTCTAATATGAGATCTGAAGCATTTATAATGTGATGTGTGTCTATCTCTCCCTTCCCTCTACCCAGGGTCCTAAAGGAATCAAAGGAGAAAAAGTAAGTTAATTTGTAAAAAGCAAGTCAGAATAAAAATAGTTCTATGACACAGGAAATGCAGTTCTGCTCATTTGTTTGCTATAGGAATATTTCAGTTCTAAATTACTTGTCTCTTTTCTAAAGCAAAACTGAAGCATTAGGAACTCTTCCAAAATTTGTACAGAGCAATATGCAGTTAATTTACAACTTCCATTTCCTTTAGTTCATTCATGTCTTCCTACCTCTATTTTGTCACTGTGTACATTTTTTGCAATGTTTTATCAATCTTTATATAATTGTAGCAGTAGTTATATGCAGTGTTTTGCCAATGTCTACGTGTTTTTATGTGCATTGATCTAAACACTTGAGAAAATTTAGCTTGATATGATAATAAAAAAAAAACTTGATATAATTGTAGCGATATTGCCTATGTGGGGTATTTTACCAATGTGCAGGAGTGCATGTGCTCATCAGTAAAGCAGAATATAGGAAGAATTTTGTGCAATCCTTCATATGATCACATCAATATTGCTTTTTTCCAAGAGTTTTATAAATGCACATCAGTAAAACAGATGGGGAAAGGTTTGTAAAGCTAGCTGAAGGAACTTAAAATTGCAGCAACAATGCAAGCTCCAAGTCTATAATTAATTATAGGAATTATCCGGGTTAAATCAGAATTCCAGTGTTTTGGGAGCCAGAGGAACAATGAAAAAAATGGAAGAAAGTTTTTGACGTGTTGAATATGGACAATGTGTAAACCACTTATAGTTTTTCTATTAGTAGCTGTTCATTTGACTGTATCAGAGGGCTACAAGGCATCCTCAGGTTTTTCTTTAAATATCTGGTTCCAAAAATAATGTTTATTCTCATTCTGAGAAATTGACCCATAAATTAATGTGTATCTTGGGGTTCAGCTAGACCTATGGATTCTGTCTCCATTTGGCAGTAATCTGTTAGTTATATAACAGGTTAATCATGGGGGATGGGAAATCCCAATGAAATGGGGCTTTGTTTGGTATCGATAACATTTGAGTTGTATTCTCCCTGTATCAGATTGGTTTTTGTTACAACATCTGATTCATTGTGTAGTCTCTTGAGAATGTACTTTATTTTATGAGATGATGGCTGTGAACCCTAGTGTTTGTTTTGGTACAGTTTTTTTTAAATAAAAAATCTCAAACTTCTTACTAGATTGTTATTTTAACTTCATAATAATGTCTCGAAAATAAAAAGGGAAATGGGACAAATCCTCTCATCCTCAGTTTTGTACTACAAGGCATTTTCTTGAATCTTCTTGCCATTATTAAAACGTCATATCAAAATATATTCCATTTGCTACACTTATTTTGATGCTGTCTGGCAGCCCACCCACTTCAACCCTGACAGGCTGGTCTATTGTTCCACCTGTCAAGAAAAAGCGGGGGGCGGGGAGAATAACATTAAATAAACGGACTAACTCATTTTACCTCTCTCTCTTGTTTAATTCTCCAAGGGATGTTCCGCAAGTGGGTATGACCAGGGTTATAGTTCCCAAGGTGATCCTGGATTGCCAGGAATGCCTGGATTTCAGGTAAGCCTGAAAAACATTCTATTTTGAACAATAAATAGATGGCTGTTGAGGTCCCTTCCACCCTAAAAGTCTCTGTGTGACACCCAACAGGGTCCATCCACCAGTAGAATGGACTTCTATTCTCGCAGTGGGTGTTCCCCTTCCTCTCCCTTCTGCAGCTCCTCCCACACCCTGAAAATTTGCTCCCAAGGATTGTGGGACACTCCGGATCAAATGTGGGGGAGCCTGGGCAGCTGCAGAGGGAGGTAGAAGAAGGGGAAGTCCTGTTGCATGTGCAGAATTCCAATCACAGCATGTTGACTATCATCCAATCATATTATGGTTCTGTGAAAAGTCTTTCAGATGTGCATAAATATATTCAGTTTAGTGGGATTGCAAATACATGAATCTGTAGTTTGAGATAGGGCAGTATAATAATACAAGTTATGAAGCAAGACTCTGCCCCAGGACCAATTGTGAAGTTTATTTTTTTCCCTCCTTTTATAAAGTCCCTAGAGAAGAATTCCCTGGATCTTTCTTTCTTTTTTTTTTTTTTGTGGGGAGGGGGGCATTCGTATGCTTGTCTACCCATTCCTGTTAACATATGTGTTAAATTAAGTGATTAAATATGGAAGTTTGAAAACTGCCCAGTTTCCTCCATTAGTGGCTAAAATTAGACAGGCTTTTATGGACAGGAATGTCTCAGACCATAGAGGTGACAGTCAAAATATTTAACAGTGGAATCCTATGCATGTTTATTCAGAAGCAGAATGGGAATAACTCAGTAGGACTTATGAGTAGGAGTGGGCTGTTTGTCCTGTTTCTTCCACTTTGGTCAGTGTGACCTGCAAGGCTGAAAATCTGAAGCTCCTTGGGCAGGGCTTGGGCTGCAGCCTAAGGGAGTGAAAGAAGCCTAAAAGCAAACAAACAAAACCAATAACGGAAGCATTATTTTTATTTCTTGTTGATGTAAAGGGTGATCCAGGACCTCGAGGATTACCAGGGCTGATAGGGCCAGAGGGCCCTCCAGGCTTTCCGGTAAGTAGAAAATCTGAATTTCCATGTTGATTAAAAATTGGTATTATTCAAAGGGCACATAAGACATAAGTTGCAACGTTCTGATGTTGGAGAGCAGAAAATTGTGCACATTAGCTCAGTGGCATGCAAAACATTCTGGCATTACTAGGTGGCCCCAGGAACTAGCCTTGAATACATATCCTTTGATATTTTTATTGTGCTTGATTATCCAAGACTCTGCAGAAATCTGCTTTGGTGCAATTTTGAAAATGTAAATGACGTTTTCTGAATTTGTTCATATTTATAGTACGTTACAAGTAAGTATTGTCATTTAAGCACCTCTTTACTTATTTTGTCCCTGTTTTTCTTTTTAAAGGCAAGGTGGGTGATGTTTCTTCCATAAAGGATTTCAGGCAAAATGTGTAATGTGTTTATCTGTACTTTTAGGGAGCACTAGGAAGACCAGGACTTCCAGGGCCAAAGGTATTTTCAGAATTGCAATATCAACACTGCTGAATTGCCCCTACTACCATTTTTCGTTTCCATCATTAATTGGGGCTTTCAAAACATTTGTTAAAGACATTTTGGTTTTGTTTGCAGGGTCTTATGGGTGTTAAAGTCATTGGTGCCAAAGGATTAAAGGTAAAAAAAAGCACATAAATATACATACATCTCCCTACTCCCCTCAAAATAACTAATTATTTTTGTTTTTCTACCAGCTGAGGGCATATCAGTATCATGCAATAAATGCTGCTTTCTCTAGGGCACTTTAAGTCTTGATCTTATTAAGAGTGCAGCTATCTTCCTTGTGTTCTTACAGTTGCCAAATGAATTTTCAAAAACCAGATTGGCTATTTCACTTCACTTCAGGCCTGCTATAGGTGCTCTGTTCTCACAGTAGGGTCTATGTTACTCTTACAGATAAGTGTCAGCTGTCCCAGTCTGCTGTACCTACCATTGATTCAGCTGGCAAGTGTAGTTTGTGTGTTCAGACCCAGGGACCTCCCCCCTAAATAAACACACATTTGACTCAAATTTTAGTTTTGGTTTTGGGCAGAATTTAGGCCACAATTATTAATTACAGAAAAAGTGAGTGGTTGCATAGGCTCTGGTTCGACTAGCTCCCTGCACCCTTGCAGGTAGCGCTGACCCAGAGCTCTATCATAGGTCGGCCAAGGGTGAACACCTGAGGTAGGTGGAAAGCCTGGGAGCAGACTATATCCACTCCCCAGATGCTCTCCTGGACTCAGGCACGGGCACAACCCCCTCTTGGGGGTTGACCAAACCAAGTTGAGTCCCTGGATTCCTTTAACGGAATACCCTTCACATAGGGATGGCAAGACCATTCTCCCATCCCTATCACCTGAACCACTGCCTATCCGCAACCTTACAAGTTGTGACGGTTTGCTACGTGGCAGGCGAAACCCAAATGGCAACAGCCAATCAGCCAAGTGGGGAAAATTCCTGCCATATCCCTGTCCCAACAACAGACGACACACGACGGCATAGCAAGGTCAATCGCAAGATGCCCTAAATATAGGGAGAGGTGGGCGGGTGTTCCGATGCATGAGCCGAAAGAAGCAGCTCTGGGTCACATGCATAGGCGTATATAGGTCCCTCGATCCATTTAGACTGCACCCCATTGGCCAGATTCAACCCAGCAATGAGGGACCTACCATTTGGGTGTTGTGGCTGTCCAATATACCCACCCGCAACCAGGAGGTCAGTCTCCAGGTCTCACTGCAACACGTGCCCTCTTTTAGGGAGGACACACTATCTGGGAAACACAAACGTGGCTGGGCCAAAGTATTGGACCAGGGTTTTTTTTTTTTTTTTGCGGCATTCCTTGGACTGAATGCTCTGTGGGAATAATGCCATGCCATGAACACTGCCGCATTTGTCAGGGTTGTCAAACTGCTACATGAAGCAGTGGCAAGGGGATTTTTGTGACAAACTTGTCTTTAAAAGCAAGTTCTACCCCCTGCCCTAAAGAAAAGTAATTGGTATGCCCTGCTGAAGTTGTTGAATTTCATCTTGAATATGAATATTTGAATGGCAGTAATATTTGATCCGACATAACACAAAAGGCTGTGGTGATATTGTAGAGAGCAATCACTAAAATATCTGGCTCCTTCAGAGTATAATGCAGAGGCAATTTTTGAGAAATTAAACAGTTGTCGGTTAACACAGTCTGTGAGCAGCCCTTTGCTTGAAAGTGTCAGCCTTCCTAATGTGCTTTATATTATAATGTAAAATGCAGAATTAGACCAAAAATGAAATAACAGGGTTGTTTTGAATGACAAAATAGAACGGCCAAGCACCCTGTAAGAAAGAAAGGGTATGAATAGAAGAATCTCAGAACTTCTGGTATGTTATATGCTCAGGACAGGACAGAGTTGGAGATAAGATTCTTGGCTAGAAGGGCTGTATCTCGAACCCAAGAATTTCAGCCTCGTATCTTTTTGCCAAATTATTTTCATGGTCAACATGCCATGTTAAGCTAGCATATTGTTATGACTACTACACGACTTCGATAATGTAGAATATTTGAGCTGAATTTTTTAATTACATCAGGTCTGCTTCAGTGGATTTTATTTGTAACGAATATCCATTAATGCTAAATGCATTGGGGTTTGTTTTTGTTTGTTTGTTTGTTTGTTTGTTTTGCTGCTTTTATTATATAATTGCAATGTTGCACAAATAATGCTTTAGCAAACAGATTCAGCCGTTGTATGCAAAACATTAAATACATGCCTGAAAAGTGTGCTTTTCCTGTAGAAAATAAACACCCATTTTCAATACATCTGTTATGCCTTCCTGAAGTCATATATACTGTATGCTAATTCTGCCATTAGAGCATATTTTTAAAACTCCCCTCCAGTCTTCTATTGTGAGGACATTTTATAATCCCTGGTATTTGGCATGTGCCATCCTAGCTGCCATAAACATATATGAAATAGCTCTTTTGATTTTTCTTTTTTACCACAGGGTGACAATGGACTAATGGGCCCTCCAGGACCAACTGGAACAGTTATTGTTACCCTAACTGGAGCAGAAAATATGACGGTAGCAGTATAATACTGTTAATGACCATTAATATAATAAGCATTCTGTATAGTTGTTCATCTTTCTCACTGTATGAGTCCCATCAGGGGAAAGGGTGGGGTATAAAGTATATATTAACAATATATAAATTTTATGAAAAGATAAACCAAATAAAGTTTATATAGAGTTATTTTAAAGAAAGTGTACATATATAGATTTTTTCTACCAAAGTGTGCAACACTTCTACCTCTTTTATGTCAGATCCCTAAATTCCATTAGCAAACATTCAGTTCGTATCTTTGCTTGTTCCTATGACTCATTTAAAATATATCACTTTTGTAAGTACCATCTTTGTTTTTGGGTTCACTGAATAAATAAATAAATAAATTCTATTATTATTATTTTTGTGACAGGAATTAAAAGGAAATAAAGGAGATATTGGTTCTCCAGGACCCCCTGGACCACCTGGAGATTCAGTAAGTGGTATTGAATTAGCGTTTCATACTTCAGAAGCTAGGACGCGGGGGGCACTGTGGGTTAAAGCCTCAGCACCTAGGGCTTGCCGATCGCATGGTCGGCGGTTCGAATCCCCGCGGCAGGGTGAGCTCCCGTCTTTCGGTCCCAGCTCCTGCCCACCTAGCAGTTCGAAAGCACCCCTAAGTGCAAGTAGATAAATAGGTACCGCTTTCTAGCGGGAAGGTAAACGGCGTTTCCGTGTGCTGCGCTGGCGCCGGCTCGCCAGAGCAGCTTCGTCACGCTGGCCACGTGACCCGGAAGTGTCTCCGGACAGCGCTGGCCCCCGGCCTCTTAAGTGAGATGGGTGCACAACCCTAGAGTCGGACATGACTGGCCCGTACGGGCAGGGGTACCTTTACCTTTACCTTTTTACTTCAGAAGCTAGATAGTAAAACATTTTTTTTAAAATAGCATATATTTGAAAGCTGCTGACATGACCATATATATATGTACAGTTTCAACATATTTAATCAGTATAGAAATACATTTGCTTACATGACCTCAACCTGAGGGTCATGGAATAAAATACATGTTGGATGTAGAATGCTGTGAAATGATGGCATCGCCTTAAATATTTTGAGCTACACTTCATAGCGGTGGCCTTAATTCGGAAATAGCTACTTTTAAATATATATTATTATAAATGTTAAAAATCAGAAAGGGAGGACAGCCAGGTACACTTGCCCTGGGCCTCAGAGGGCTAAGAAGCCCTGGGGGGTAGCGGCGCCAGTGGCCTGCCAGACTGACACTATCATGCCAAGAACTCCCTGGGCCAAACAGCTGACCAGGGATTCCCTCACCAGGCCTCAGACAAGCTCTGCACTGGCCTGCTAAAAATATAAAACAATATGAGTTGTGCATTCAGTGTAGCAACATAAATCTAAAGGATGTGTGTTGATTGGTAGATCTGTGTTTTAGGGCTCACCTGGTGATTTTCGAAGTGCAAAAGGAGATCCCGGAGAGGCAGGACCTCAGGTTTGTAAACTACCCCCCCCTTTTGCAATTGATAGATATTTTTATTTTTAAAAAACTACCTAGTGTTACAGATATTTCTTTAGTCGTCTAGAAAGGTTAACAGTACAGTTATAGTCTGAAAATACGGTACATTTTATGGTTATCAAAGCCATACTGCGGTTGAGGAAATGATTAATGCAAATACAACCTGAGTCCATTGGATCTTTAGTTCCATATATCCAGCTTTATTAAACCACATTTTATTAGAATCATATATTGTACATAGGAAAATAATAATATTATTAGCATATTTTGTTTAACAACAACAACAAAGTATTAAAAAGTGGTTTGTTTGTTTGTTTGTTTGTTTGTTTGTTTGTTTAATTAGGGTAGACCTGGAAAGGATGGAACTCCTGGTCCACCTGGCTTGCTGGTAACAAATAATTTTTAAAAATATTTTGTGTCAATGTACATTAGTGGTCATGGTCTGGACTGGATAGGATGTAGGCTATTGTCTATTGGCAAAATAAATGGTACTCTGTATCTTACTCTCGAACATCATTAAGGTGGATCAATACAGGAATTGGATAGCTTCTGGAGAAGAGCAGAGTAAGGGGCAGAATGGCTGAACAGCTACTCCTGCACAAACTTTAATGTGTCCCCAGAAACCGCCTATAACAGGGTAGGAAAACAGGGGCCCTCCAGGTATTGTTGGACTACAACTCCCGTCATCCCCAACACTGGGAGTTGGAGTTCAAAAACAACTTGAGAGCCACAGGTTTCCCACTACAGTCCTATATTGATGCAGTGATTTTGAGTGGTCAGTTCATGAAAGAGGGACACAGACCAGAACCTGAATCTTCATTCAGCTTTGGGCACAAAGGTAGCTCTAAATGTATATTGGTGCTGGAATGAACTGTGTCTTTGGACGCAGCTAGATTGGTAAAAAAAAAAAAAGCGTTTGATATGTGTTGTGTATGTGATATAAGACTGTGACACCTGATGGCGCTGTGGAGCCCCGTCTTTCCCTACCGGGTTTCCCTGTATGAGTTTACAATGCGTTTAACCGAATCGCTTCGTTGACGTGTCTAGATCCAGCCTTTATGTACAATTTAATTTCCTGCAGGGAGAAAAAGGAGAACAGGGTTTGCCAGGAAGACCTGGGAAAGTTGGTCCCAAGGTAAAAGCTCTTGTTTTCATTTTTGTCTGCTGCGTTTTGCTTCCCTTATCAATTCCAAAAATTTGGAATTAAAAGTATATTACCAATTCAGCAAAAATGAAATGCAATTTTTAATGGACACCAAATTTCTAAAGCAACAGTTTTTTATATTTTATTTTAGGGTATTTCTATCCCACCTCTCTGAAGCTCAAGGCCACTTAAAAAAAATAAGTAAAAAACCAGCAGACTATGAATGAGTCATAACTCTGCTGGTACATTCTGTTCTTGGCTTACAAATGGATTCCTCATTCTAGTGTTTTTGAAGTTCATAAATCGCAAGTACTCTGATAGGACAAAGGGTTGTAAGAATGTCCTTACAGGGTTTGACTACTGATAGTGGTAGCTGATGGTAGGGCAGAAGGAAGAGAGGTCAACAGTAGGCGGAGCCAGAGCCAGTGACAGGCAGAGCCAACCCTCTTTCCTGCTGAGTTCTACCATGGCAATGATGAGCTAAAGAAGGAGGGAGGTAATAGCCAGTGCCACTCCTTAGACTGGTTGTAAGAAGGCAGGCAGGTGGGAGCTCATTGGGGGCAAACTGAGATTGGTGGGGCAATGCCCCATTTGCTCTAATGGACCAGTCTCAAGTGGACAGTAGGTAAGTCTTTGCAGGGTTTAGTTCACAGAAGCAGGATGGGGATACTAAAAAAAAAACCCTGAATATCTGACCAGACCTGCATCATGGAAGACATTGTTGACCCCTAGTCAATGGTTACATACCTAGAATAAGGACAGATAAACTTTGGCCCTCCAGATATTTCTGAACTACAACTCCTATCAAACCTAACCATTGGCCATGCTGACTGGGGCTAATGGGAGTTTTAATCCAGCAACATCTGGAGGGTCACAGGATGCTCAGCTCTAACCTAGGCAAAAGAATAATCAAGCCAGAAATTTTTAGACATTTTAATCTTTTTTAAAAATGAACTTTCTAGATAACTTGCTAACTGTTTTTAACATGTAGACCAAGTGGCCACTAATCTATATCCAACGTAGTCAATAGGTTTCAGAATTCCATTGGATTTGAGAAATTATCATGTTTCTTATATTTTTTTTCTGTTTTCTAATATAGGGACAGAAAGGTGAAATCGGCAGCAAAGGAATTCGGGGTCCAGTAAGTGCAAATTCCATTTGTCTTTGTATTTCACTTTAATATCATAAAATTAATAGACAAAGCCTGGTTTTAACATGCTGATCAGTGTCAGATGCCTGCTTCAGGATATCATAGAATCATAGAGTTGGAAGAGACCACAAGGGCCATCGAGTCCAACCCCCTGACAATTTATGTGTAGCTAAATTGTTTTTAATAATGGCCTGTGTTTAGCTTTGCATAGAAATCACATCACCAAAGGAGCCCTGGCTTTTAAAAAATGGAATTCTGCTTACGATTTTAGCAAAACCAAGTCATCATACAAATGCGCCACATTCATATTACATGCAGCCATGCCTTTCTCTTCATTATTACTATTTTTCTCTCCTTTTTTGTCTGTCTGTCCCCTCTTTTTATTTAAGACAGAGTATTATGATGAATTGCCAGGTGAAAAAGGAAACCAGGGCTATCCAGGACTCCCAGGACTCAAAGGCCAGTTTGGAGCACCCGGTAAGAGAGCATCAAAGGTTTAAATAACATACCAGGAGCTTTCTGAACTACCAGTGCTCAGATGAAGCATATTGACATGTGAAAACTACATCACACCATTGGCTTCTGGGTAGCAAGTGATGAGAAAGAGGCCATTGGGATTTCACTGCCTCTTCAGTGTTAACAGTCTAGCCCTATGAGATTAAAATACCTTGGGACTGAATATGAAGCCTACTTGATCTCAAGGAGAGTGGAGTTGAGGCTATAAAATGCCTGTTGGTCTCAGTATACATTATTAGGCTAAGCCTGCATACCTGTGAGTAAACCCCATTGAACTCAATGATGTTTCATTTTGAAAAGACATAGACTCATAGAATTGCAGGGTTCTGAGGGATCCTAGTCCCATCCCTTGCAATGCAGATATCTCAACTAAAGCATCCATGGCAATGATGTATAGATGGTATCTGACCCCTGTTAAATTAGCAAAGATTTATCATACCTGTGATAATCTATGTTGGAAATGTAAAGAAAAAGAAGGTACCTTCTATCATATGTGGTGGACCTGCCCCAAGGTGAAAGACTTCTGGGAGAAGATTTATAATGAATTGAAAAAAATGTTGAAATATACATTTATTAAGAAACCAGAGGTCTTTCCTCTTAGAATAACAGGTTTAGAATTGCCCAAGAAAGATGTTAAATTATTTTTGTATGCCACAACTGCTGCTCAAATTTTATTAGCTAAGAATTGGAAAACACAGGAAATACCAACAGTGGAAGATTGGCAGATGAAGATGATGGATTTTTCAGAGCTAGCCGACCTGACTGGAAGAGTCTGTGATCAGAAGGAGGAGGATTACCAGGAAGAATGGACGAAATTTAAAGATTATTTCGTTAAATATGTTAAGTTAAATTAATTGGAAAAGCTTGCAAATACCAGATAGGCTTAGGATTTAAATATGTAACGTGATAAATTAATATGTTGAACTCTAGATTGGGAAAGAAAGAAAGATGTTAAGTGACTAAGTTAATTTTATGAGAATATAGGTTTTGGAAAACCATTAAAATGATATACACTGAAATTCAACCAAGCGGATATGAGGAAGTTGCTTAACAATGTTAATAAGACCTTAAAGACCAACTAAGTTAGTTCTTGGTACGAGCTTTCGTGTGCATGCACACGAAAGCTCATACCAAGAACTAACTTAGTTGGTCTTTAAGGTGCTACTGGAAGGAATTTTTTTTGTTTTGACTATGGCAGACCAACACGGCTACCTATCTGTAATGTTAATAAGATTAGTTTTAATAAGGCTAGGCTTTATGTTTGTTTGTTTATTTGTTTGTGTGTTTATAAATTTGTGGAAAACTAATAATTTTTTTTGGGGGGGGGAAATAAAAATAAAGCATCCATGGCAGATGGCCATCCAACATCCATTTGGCCGGCCGGCATAATATAGATATGTGATGAATATACTGTTCTTGCAGGACCACGGGGTCCCCCAGGTGCCACTGGAAGGCCAGGTAAGACCAATAAATATTGTTTGTTTCAGATATATGAAGGAATTCTGGGATATTTAAAAAAAACAACAACATGAAATTAAATCCTCTGAAATGGCTACAAGCACTGGTACAGAAAACATAGAAATGGAAGTAATACTTTTAACTCTTGCATTAGGTGTTTCGAGACCTGGTCCAAGAGGTCTAACAGGCCCTCCAGGCCTCAAAGGAAGTAAAGGAGATAGAGGACAACCTGGCATGAATGCCATTGGACCCCCAGGACTTCCTGGATTGCAAGGAAGACCTGGCCCAGCAGGATCCCCAGGTCTTTCAGGACCACCAGGTAGAGCAAGATGATCATTATTTGTATGGAGCCATAATGTTTTCATGGCATATTTGTGCAACTCTGGAATTAATGGACTATCCAACTGAACTTCTTATGGCTAAAAGCAGCCACTACTGTTGCAACCATCCCTGCAAAGGAAAGCAGAAATATTAAAGTAGAGAAAGTATGATGGATTTGCAAATGATAGAAACTGGATTAAATCTAGTATATAAATTCATTGATTCCTATTCCAATAGCTTTGGAGTGAGAGACTGGCTAAGTTCAGATAACCATATCTCAACTTAATATGCAGTGTGAAAGTATCTAATTAGTCACAGTTTCCTGTTTCACCTTAACTGAGAAACTATGGTTCCCAGCTCAAGGCAGGATCTTAAACCATGGTTTGATACTGGTTTCCGAAATATTATTGTGGCCTGCCTCGATTAACAAACTAAATAAATATGCTCATTAGTTAACCAAAGGTATTTTGTAGGTTGACCAATAAATGCCACAATTATTAGACATTCCCCAGTGACTTCCCAAAGTGGCAAGAATAACTAGCAAATGTCAACATTTGCCAGTGTTTTGTTCTTTGCTATGACTTGAATGCATATAGCCTGTGTTTCTTCCATGCTGTCAACACCATAGTATAAGTTCACCTTAAATCTGAGGTCCTTAGAAAACCCTAAATGGCCTATAACAGAGGCTATCATGATATTTGTGAGCAATGCATGAATATTTTGTGTTGTTCTCACCCATAAACAGGTATAATAACTTTTGAAAGAGGCCCACTGGGACCCCCAGGAACCCCAGGATGCATTGGACCTCCAGGCCTTTCAGGAGATAGTGGAGCAAAAGGTCAGTTGCAAATACATTTCCAATCTTAATAGTTTGGGGGCGGCATGGTGGTGAACAGAAATCTTAACCGTAATGATTATTAGACTCTGTCAAGACTACTTAGGCACAGAATATACTCAGTTCCTTTTCATCATGCTAAGGGCAATTAGACCTGATTCTGCTTTTCATTCTGAGCTCATAAAGGCAACCAAACTGTCCCAGAGTAGATTGGCTTCCTCTCTCTCCTTCCAAACAATAATGAGGATTTTACCCTGTACCAAATGCCAATATTTATATGAGCATGTGTGATAGTCAGTGTTGGACTTAGACTGGGGAGACATGGATTCAGTTCCCCAGTCAGCCTTGATTCTAACTGAGTGACCTTGAGACACTGTTGGGTTGCTGTGAGGATAAACTACGGATCCCCTAAGCTAGACTAAGCTCTTGAAGGAACAGTAGGATAAAAATCAGAGAGAAAGATAAAATGTGATCTATGTGGGCACTCTCTTTCTCACTGTTGACTAAAGGCTTGCCCAGTAACACTAATAATATATTTATCGTTTTTAAGGACAAATATTCTTTACTGGGGAAATTTGCCTCACTATCTGCTCCTAGGGTTAACCATATTGCTAAATATGGAAAGCTCAGGGGAATTAGATGCACAAACATGATTACACTCTTTCTCATCCTATCTTTGTGTTTTTATACATTGTATAAAATGTATCTGTGATCTTCGAATGAAGGGCAGTAGAGAAACTTAATAAATGATAATCCTTGCTGATAAATACATACAGTGCTGTAGGGCACGTGTGCTTTTGACATAGCAATAATTTACCAATGTCACCTTTAACAGAGGAATAATTTTACTGCAGGTGAAGAAGCAGGCCCATGTGACCAGTGCACCTTTTTGACGGGGCCACCTGGCCTTCCTGGTGTTCCTGGAGCACAGGGTGAACAAGGAGTTAAAGGTAAAAGAATCTGACAGTGCTTGAGAATTGCTAAAATATACCAAGAGCTCAGGGAAAGGGGTAGAAGAGGGTGAAAAATCTCCAACTGGCAGTATATTCCAGTTTATAGAACATTTTACCTCAGCCATTCTGATGTAGAACATAAATTAGTAACGTGGTTTTGCTTATATACTTTAAGAAGGGAGGCTTTAGAAATTATTAGGATAAATAATGTGCCTTATGATCCATCACCCTGCTGTCAGAGTGCCCTATAGAGTGCCCATAGTGCTAAAGGGCACAGCTGGTGTCAACAGGATTGTAAAAAATGCAACTCCAGGACACCAGCAAACAGCTGCACACTGGCTTTGTATAATAAAAGTTTAATGCACTAGTGAGGAACAAAGGCGCTTCTGGAATGGAGTATCTTGGAAAAGGTTGTGGCTGGCTGAAACCCTATACTACAACATTTTGTTGTAGGTTCCAACTTGTATTCTACTTATCATTAGACTATGATTCATCTCCCTTAGGATATTATTGTTTAATATTCTACTCAGGGAAAGCTAACCTGTCTCCACCCCATGCAAGTAGGCAGCCGCAGTGCTAGTGTTGGGAGGGCAGCTCTGTGGCATCCCCCACACCTTGCCAGCCACTTCTGTGCTACAGAGAAGACCTACTCTGAGTTCCTATGCAGTGAACTACAGACATTAGCAGGAGCACAGACAGCCTTCTCCTGATTTCAGGATTTGGGCTGGCTGATATCGGAAGAAGCACTCTTGCTTTCAATGTCAGTCTGGTTATTTCTGTAGTAGTACATGGCCAGTTACTTAGGAGCAGGTGGAGCTTGTCAACCTGGGAAGGGGGCCCATCTATAAGAGAAGGGAAACTCTGATCCTAAATGTCTGCTGCAGTTCGAAAGCACACAGTGCAAGTAGATAAACAGATACCGCTCTGACGGGAAGGTAAATGGTGTTTCTGTGCGCTGCTCTGGCTTCGCCAGAAGTGGCTTAGTCATGCTGGCCACATGACCCAGAAGCTGTACACTGGCTCCCTCGGCCAGTAAAGTGAGAGGAGCACCACAACCCCAGAGTCGTCCGCGACTGGACCCAACCCTGCACACTTTAAACCCTGCACAAATCCAGAGTGGAGTCCCTAAGATGGTTGGATGGTGCTTTGTACACCTTCTGGCAACTCCTGCAGCCAAGCTGGCACCAAGCGTATTGCTCTGTGAGGCTGAGAAGAGGGGTCTTGTCTTGTGGGCAGCCCAGGACCTCCATACACACTTCCCAGGCTTGCATCCCGGAGAGGTCATTTCAGTGCTGTTAATGCATCAGTTTGACTTCACCTCCGGAGGCACACTCCATTGTCTCTCTCGAGAGATGGATGCCAACAATTACGGTACTTCAACCTTCCAGTTCTCTCTAAATCACTGTCTCTACCATTACAGGTATAGAAGGAGCATTGGGGCCTAAAGGATCCCAAGGAACCCCTGGGATTCAGGGGCCTCCCGGCATTCAGGTACGGTTCACGTTAAATTGTTTTTAGAGTTGGTTTATATGTAGAGCCCTTTGTAGTTTCCATCATAAAAAGGCCTCTACCCATTGGAGGATATGGATTCTTTCACCTGCGGTAGCTGACAATGGGAAAAACCTCTTCACACACAGAATCATTTCACCACAATGCCTTAGTGTGTTGATTTTACTGTACCTTTCATAGCATTTATATAGATTCAGCGTTACAGTTCCTGTCATTTTTTATTAACAACATGTGACCCAGGGACTTCCAGGTCTTCCAGGAAACCAAGGCCTTAAAGGATTGAAAGGTGAGCCAGGGTATGCAGAACCAGAAGGCCCAAAAGGAGACAGAGGAGAACCAGGACAAAGAGGAAGCTCAGGAGAAAATGGTGCAGACGGGCTACCTGGGAAACCTGGACTGAAAGGCTCAAGAGGTTCTGTGGGAGAACCGGTTAGTACCTGCTACTTTCACATCTAGCGCAATCATACTGATTTTTGCATTGCTTTCAATCCATTGAAAAATAAATAAGGTAAACATATCTGAAGACATTCGTCAGGGTACATGCACATATATTAATTTTTGTTGTGTGCCCTAATTCTATTACAACATCTGAAAAAGTCATGTGGAAATGTGCATGTCTGCAGCCTATACGCAGCATAAATCTGTAGTAGTCACTGATTTCCCTTTTGGATTTAGCTGAATATCCACTTTAAAGTGCTTGGAAGGATTCAGTGTAGTGCTATGGCAATCCTTCCAGCCTTTCCGTTTGCCAGATGAAAGAATCCCCCCCCACACTGTTCTCCTGACCCCACAGAGCCAAATTTGGGGGAGGAAAAGCCCTATTGCGCTCATGGAAGTCCTTGCACAGACTTCCAGTAGTGGGACTCAATAGTTGAATCTGGCCTTATTTGTGGTGATCAAAATGAAATTGTTATGTTACTTATTTCTGCTTTGAGTGCCATTGCTGAATCATGGTGGCAAGTGCAGACTCCATCATGTTTCTAGCAGTGCATATGCAAAAGAGCTATGTTCATCCAGGGTCTTTGCTGTAGGCCACCAACCTTTGTTTCTGACTGTGACTTACCATTATATATGCAGGCATTTTGAGTGTTTGTTAAGCAGTGTTTTCTGAATTATTATCAGGGACCTGATGGCACAAAAGGAGACAGAGGTGCACCAGGATCAGTTGGTATCTCAGGTCTTCCTGGAGAGAGAGGGCTACCCGGACCACCAGGATATGGACCACCAGGAGTGGAAGGGTCTAAGGGATCTCAAGGAAATCCTGGTTTGCCTGGGTTGGTTGGAGAAGCAGGTCAGTAGATATTATTGTTGTTATTACTAAATAATTTGACTGTGGTGTCTATAGTAGATTTAAAAGCTGCAGTGGGTGTCAAGGTGTGTGTGTGTGTGTGTGTGTGTGTGTGTGTGTGTGTGTGTATTCCTAATGCAACATTGCAGAGCATTGTAACTTCATTGGGCTGCTGTCTTTAAATAACCACTGGCATATTCTAGTTTGTGTTCTTCTTGTTATACACTTTTAAGGTCCTAAAGGTGAGCCTGGTCAAGTAAATGCAATTCCTGGACCTCCTGGACTTCGAGGGCCAGATGGTAGGCCTGGACCACAAGGAGAAAGAGGTGAGAGCTACCTTTTCAAGCTGGACTACTGTCAAACTGACTCTTCTAAAATATTACACACACACACACACACACACACACACAAGGCTGCAACTTGTCATGGTCAAGCAGCAGCCACTATGCAAAGTAGTAACCTGCAGAAGAGGCTGAAAGAACAAGCAAGGTAAGCAAGCAAAATCTTGACAGCAAGGAGCAAAGATGCTCTAGTTTTGTAGGCAAGTGGCCAGGATTGACTAATTCCCTTATTCAGGGTGTTTACATGGATGGTTAAGGCTGCATCCTAGCCCATCCTTAGCTGGGAAGGCAAGCCCCATTGAACTCAGTGGGACTTCCTTCTAAGTAGATATAGTTAAAAGTGCACTGTTGGCCACTGTTGAGAGAGGGCTTTAGGCACAATTCCTGCAAAACTTGTAACTCAACTCACCAGCCAATCAGTGGGGAGAGAGACAGATCCATGAAGGGGGGGGGGGAAACCCAGGCAGGTACTTTAGTTTCTTTAGCCCCAGTTCATAGGGCAGACCCTTCAACCTCCTGAGTTTTTGTTCTAGATAGAGTGTGGCTTGCCATTTGATACTGCTGCCAGAAGTACTTTGCATTCTTTGATAGGTAGTGTTGGATCCAGAGGGCCACGTGGATATCCAGGCCTCCCAGGACCAGAAGGTGACCCTGGCTTTTCAGAATATGGATTTCCTGGCTATCCTGGCATTAAAGGTAACGTATTTGTCTTTTCTTGAAGGAAAAAAGAGAGAATAAAACGAAGTAATGAAACAAATGAGAAATTTAATAAATAATCATCTATTAAGTCCTTGAGAACTTCAGAGAGAGAGAAAAAACTCAGTTAGATCTGTATTATCATGGACATCAGTGGTAGCCACTGTGTTGGATTCTGTAAGCTGTTGGGTTCCAACTCCCAACCCACAAGGCCAGTGATGAAGAATAATGGGAGCTGTAGTCAAACAACATTTGGAGGGTTCCATATTGGCTCCCCATGGTGTACATATAGTATCTTCATTAGAGCACTTCAGTAAAACCATATAATGCATTTTCAAAATGGAGGACAGCTGACAATTTGACTTTAAAAGTAGCATGCATACAAATTTCATTTGTTTTGACATACTGTGCTTCTGGTGCTGTAATAGCATCTTTGTTGTAAAACTGAACAGAGGGTTGTAGCACTGAGTGGCATATCCCACCAGCACAAGGATTTCTGCTTGTGCCATGGGATTGCCCTCCCCTCCTTGCACACATCCCTAAACCTGTTATGGGATCCCTCAAACTGTCCAGTGCAGATTTGGGGAGGGCAGTGGGCATGCACAGTGGAAAGAGAGGTGAGAAAGTCCTATTGAACAAGCACAAATCCTTGCCCTGACAAGACATGTTCGTTTGATGCTCTCCAGTTACTTGGTTGATTTTTTCCCCCTGGTTCTGTTGTCTTTCAGACAATAAAAATTGCATTAAAAAAATTAAATTCATGTTCAGTTTTTGCATATTATAACAGCTGCATTTATTTATTCATTCAAAACTTTTGCATCCCACCTTTCTTCAAAAAGTTCAAGGCAGCTGACAACAAAATCTAACCATAAATTAACAATTAAAAAAACACAGTTGCAAGATTCCTAACTTAATTAGCAAGAAAAATGTCAGAACCTAAAAAAAATGACATGCCCACTTATCGCAAACCTTCAAGAGCCTGTGTTATATCACTGAACATTGTTTCCCCTCCACTTTGTAGGAGATAAAGGGTCTCCAGGACCCACAGGGCCACCAGGCTGTCCCGGACAATTAGGGGAACCAGGCTTACCTGGAAAACCTGGAATTCCTGGAGAAAAGGTTGGTCCGCAAATGAATTCCACTGAGTTTAATGGGTTCTACTAATCAGCAAGAGCATTAACGATTTTAAGAATTTTAAGAAATGCTCAGAATATTAAGAAATAAAAATTAAGTTTTACTTACAGTGTTTGAGACATGACATTTATTGCTATTATTTCCTCCATGTTTTAGGGTGAACCAGGCCCAGTTATACCTGGACAACAAGGCAGACTGGGTTCACCAGGAGTAGATGGCATGCCAGGTGAGAAGGGCGAAAGAGGATTTCCAGGACTTCCAGGGCTCCAAGGTCAACGAGGTCGTGATGGTGCTGATGGGCCAAGAGGTAGAGTATATTTTGAGCAAAATGTTTGCCTCCTTGACATATTAACTAAACATTATGAATTTTCATTCAGTGGCAGTTTCGTTCAAGAAACTTATATCCCTCCCTTCCATCGCATTTGAGCAGTGTTCAGTTTGTTCAACCTGAGGATACAGAAGGTATCCTTGAAGAAGTGAAGCCATCTCTCTGTGCACTCAGCTCTCATCCCTTCCTTGCTGCTACAAGAGGCATGGTGAAATGGGGGGGGGGGACCACAGCTTTAGTGGTGGCTTATCTGAAGATTGGATGGCTGCCCTGGAAGTGCAGAGATTTAAACCCTGTCAAGCCATACTTAAAAGAAATGGATCTGGCATACTAGGCAATTGAAAAGGGCAGATATATAAAGTCTAAGCTGAATACTTTTAGGTCTCTAGTCTGATGGAAGGATGGGAGAGAAGGAACCAGGTGCCTGTTGGAACTGCTTTTTCTCCAAACTGAGGTGCCTGTCGCCAAATGGACTTGGTCATTAGAGTGCTGCCCCCCCCCCAGCTACAGCTTTCCACACCTGTAAACTAAATGTGTGAAGTGGATGCATGTATGTTCTAGAGTGTGTGTGACAGAGAGAGGGGGGAAAAGAAGAGGGAGGGAAAGAATGGAAGCATAAGGAACTCATTGTAAAATGGGGCCCTTCATAACATGATATTAAGTTACCTTAATGCTATCAATACTATCTTTTAGGAGAACCTGGGTCCCCTGGAGTTCCAGGAGAAAAGGGTGTTCCAGGAAAAATAGGTGACTGTCTTATTGGCTTACCAGGCCCACCAGGTCTATGTGGATTAATGGGCCCCCCAGGTAAGTATTACACAAAATAATTGGGACTCATGCAGTAAACGAAGTACATATTGTCATCCCCCTACTCTAAGCCAGCACATGCTCTTCTGAACACCTGAAGCAAGGTCATGAAGCACACTTCACTGATTTATGGGTTGGAGCAGTGCTCATCAAAACCACAGACTTGTCTGTCTCATTTTCTTCACATAGGATATCTTAGTCAAGTATCTTGTAGGCAGTCATGGTCCTCTCTACAAAAGGGACATGATATCTCTTTGAGAATATATTCTTATTTATAACATTGTTGATACTTCAGATAAAATCCTATTGAGTTTAGGTTTGGTTTGTTGAACAGGGAACGGGCAAAATAATGAAAGTGCAATCCTATACTTGACTACCTAATAGTAAACCCCATTTAATTCAGTGGGCTTATTCCTAGGTAAATGGAGTTAGGATTAAGACCTAAAATATTTTAACTCTGGGTTATATCTTCTGCATAAGCAGATGGTACCTGAAATTGAATTAAAAACCCAGAAAAAAGTATAGGCATACAAAATATCCAGACACATAGATACTGGTATGTTTAAATCTTTTTCACTGTTAATTTAAATTCCTTTTAAAATGTTTTTAATTATATTTGTTTTTATTGATAATTTTAACCGCTTGGAGGTTTTGCTTCAATATAGTAGTATATACATTTCAATCAATCAATCAATCAATTTAATTAATGCTTTCTTCTTTTTTAAAGTGACCCAAAAGGGTTTTTGTCATTATCGTTGTTCAAATGGCTTTTAATTTAGTTCCTTTTTCTATCATGTCTGGAAGAAGCTTGTATTTTGTTAATAGACTCTGGGTGTCTTCAATTATTCCGCAGGAGGGATTCAAGTGCACACTGCATATTTTGATTTGCCACAATTAAAGTAGATTAAAGTTGTCTGTTGAGCAAATCCACTTTAAAACAAAAACTGACGTTTTAAGGTTGTAAAACTGATGAGGAAATGCACTGAAAAGTGTGGGATGAACAAAATATTAACGGGGAAATGTATAGCTTCTGTGCTGGGATGAATGCTCATTGTTATATAACTTCCCTACAAACAAATCAACAAATTCTCAATAAATTCTAGGTGTAATGTAACCTCTGTGTAAGCTTTACACCGACAAATTACCAAGTTATCTGGAGGATCCCTCTGTATACAGTTTGCTGTACTTCTTAGTTGTCCTTGTCTGTAAAACTACTTCTTACAAAATATGCCCCCAAACCCATGTTCTTGACCTCAAGATCACAACCTTCTTCGGGGGGGGGGGGCAGGGAACATTTTCACATAATGGTCATTTCAATGTGTCTGTTATAATAGGAAAACGTGGAGTTCTAGGAGCCAAAGGAGACCCAGGTTTTCCAGGATTAGACATCCCGGGGTTCCCAGGACCATTTGGGCTGCCTGGATTACCTGGCCCACAAGGAGATGAAGGATCTCCTGGCATCAAGGGACAACCTGGCAGGCCAGGAGTACCAGGTGTACCAGGTGAGTATTTCTTGAAGGGAAAATAACACACTATTAGTACCACTTGCTTGCCATTTTATTCTGCAGGAGTTTTATAGATATGACCGGTACGATCAAATTAAGGCGATGGCATGGCATTAAGTCTGTAGATAATGCATAGATAAATACTCATTTTGCCTGGACTCTGACACAGGCAATAGGGAATGCACAATCTCTGAGTAATACAGTATTCTGTTTTGCTCACTTCCCACAGGTCTAAGAGGAGAAATAGGCTTGATGGGCACTGTGGGTAATCCCGGGCTACCTGGTGTCTTTGGAAATCCAGGTATCCGTGGCAGCAGGGGTAAGTGATAATGCACTTCTCTTATCTGCTCATTATTTATACAGCCATAAGTACACATTGTCAGCCTGTCAGATCTTTCCTGAGACAGCATCCCTCCATAGCTGCAATAGGAGGCAAAATTCCTTCTGGGAGGGCCCACTGGGAACTGTCCATGGTCCTTACTTTCCTGACCTCTGCTTAAAAAGAAACCTGCCCTATCTTTGCCTGTCCAGGAGAGACTCTGTCTGTGTCCATTTCACTTGTAAGCCTCCTTTGCTTGGCTGCTTTCACCTGCAGCCTTCCAGGCTTATGGCAGCATTCAGTACGGTCCCTCCTTCAAGCCCTAACAAACAGAGAAGAAGCATGGATCCTGCTCCTAACTAGACTAATAGGTCAATTCTTAGCAGTGCTTTGTGGTCATATGATTTGCATGTCATTTGGATTTGGATTATTTTTGGCTGTTAATTGGTGTTGAAGTATTAAAGGCCAAAGCGCCGAATGAATTAATCGATTTATTACAGTCACAGGCCAGAGATAGGACAAAGGGCCAAAATTAGTGTGACTTCTGGATAAGACAATGTATAAGTTCTAAATTTCTCGTGGTCTCCTTGGTAAAACGTTTCAAAGCTAAAACTGTAAATGGCCCACATGAGTTAATGTAAATGTGAAAGAGGGCCTGCACATGTTTCATTGGCCAAATGTGTGTCATGCTATTACTTTTCCAAATGCAAGCCAAGGTTCTTCCAGCTTTTGAAGTAATAGACAAAGTGCTGCAATTGCAGAGAAGAAAAATAATAAAAGCAGTTTTGTTTTGTTTTGTTTTGTTTTGTTTCTCGTTTGCAGGTTCTCCTGGCTTCCCAGGACCAAAAGGAAGAAAGGGATCCTCAGGTGAAAAAGGTGAACCAGGTGATAAAGGTTCTCCTGGAACATCAGAGTCCAAAGTGAGTTTTGGAGATAAAGGAGACAGAGGACCTAAAGGTATATGCAGCAGTTACTACTGCTGCTAAAACCAGCTTGATGCCATTACAATTATCATGTTATGTTTTTTAAATGAGAGTGTTGGTGATACTGACTTCCAGTGTAATGCATGTCATTGCTGCTGTAGGATTTCCTGGGAGACTGGGACTCAAGGGAGAAAAGGGAGAGCAAGGTCTGAAAGGATGCATAGGACCTGATGGACTACCAGGAAGGCCAGGCCCACCAGGTATATAGACTTACTTATATATTAAACTGTATCAGATATACAAAATAATATGAACCTTCTTTTAGTAATTTGTCAAACTAAGACAAGAGCTAGTTAATACAAGAGTTATGTGAGGAATAATGCATCCATAATCATCTATGGTTATGCGCTTGCTCATGGTTGAATGGAGAATAAGATGAATGAACAGTTGCAGAGACTTCTCATACCAGTGCTGGTTAACATGGTGAAACGTACTTGAAATATTAAACGGTTAAAAACTCATGCCCAATCTTTTATTTTTAAAACTTGATGAAACTCAGTAGCAGCTGCACCTTAGTTTTGGGATAATGCTAACCACACACTCATTATGACATGTTTATGAGATACCATCGGACAGCTTGGGAAAACGTGAGCTGTGCCATATTCCTTGTAGGAGTAGTCACCCTTTGAGGGGCAATAAGTAGCAGGTGTAAAACAGAGAAACCAAGAACACTGTTCTTTCTTTTGGATAATGATCCATAACATCCCACCTAATCTTGAAGTGCATCAAAATATGTTCAATTGATTATACTTTCAGGTTCCAAAGGAGACAAGGGACTTCCAGGAATTCTTGGTGGACAGGGATCGACAGGAGCTCCAGGAGACAGAGGGGACATGGGAGTGCCAGGTGATTTTACCCATGTATCTGAATAGTCATCAGGGGAATAGTACTGTAATAGCCACCTGAAAAACAAATAGCTGAATTTAGTGATTAATGCATTTGTAAGGACTGAATTGGAGCAAGCTGTGCATAAATGGGGAATGGTGTTTCACAGGTTTTTGTGGGGAACAGCACATCTCGTAATAAGTTTATTAAGGCCAAAATACTCATTGCTCATTATTTTTCAAGTTCTTCCTGTACTTGTCTTGAATATACCTTTACTTAGAGGGAAAAAGAATCTCTCTCTCTCTCTTTCTCTCTCTCTCTCTCTGTCTGTGTAAAGTTGTATTTGTGGAAGGGTGAAACTATGATACAGCTGCTTATAACTCAGTCTCATTTCATATTTTCATTACTTGGCTTGGTTTTGGTTTGGTGGCTTTTCCCCCCTTTGGGAAATTAAAAAAAGTCTAAAATATCTATTCTGATAGCCATGTCTATGCCATTGCAGGTTCTAAAGGCGAACGAGGTTCTTCTGGTTTGCCTGGGTCACCAGGAATACCAGGGCCACCTGGCTTGCTTGGTATTCCAGGGGATAAAGGAGAACCAGCCTGTCCTGGATCTGGACCTCCTGGGGACCCAGGACCTGAGGTATAGAAAATAATAGATCCATGGGTCCAGGCTGTGCTTAATAGGTTTGATTGTTATTTACCATGATCCTGTTTCCCATTGATGCTTGCTAGGGTGATCCAGGTCCCCCAGGAGAAAGAGGAAGAAAAGGTGAAAGTGGATCACCAGGCCGGCCAGGGCTTGTCGGAGAACCTGGACTACCTGGAAACAGAGGGGAATCTGGTTTACCAGGAATTCCAGGTGAAGTGTGTGTTTTTAGGCACCAATGCAAAGCGTTAAGAGTGAAATATAATTTTAAGTGAACTAAAACTGCAACTACTGTAAGCAGCTTCTTTCTATGGAAAAGGTACCAGCTAGCCTGGGGATTTTGTGCCACAGGAAATACTTCAAACACTGCCAACTGATGCCATTCCTGCTTGACCCTGAACTGCCATTTGAACCAGTAGCAATCATCCTAGGAATCATTAAAAGTGCCCTTGTGGCTTGTGATTGATGCTCCATCTGAATGCACACTAACAGAAACAGTATAATGCCATGCAAATCATATTATTCAGTAATGCTGGTTCACTCATACAGCACTGGTTCTCCTTTGGGTATTTTAATACAAAGCTAATCTAGGTAATAACTTCCCATGCAGCTGGTTGCACAACTGAATATCAAATCGGGGGGAAGGAAAATCCATTGTGCAAAAGAGATACAAAGTGGTGTGTGTATTAATACAATGATCCAAAATAGACTCTTCTGCTATTTTGGATCATTGTATTAAATCCTGAGTTTCTCATTTAGATAAGCAGGGCTCAGTACAGTACAGTTCAGAACAGAGAGCACTATAATTGGGAGTAATGTATTTTTACTGAAGTTGATGGAGCTGCTTCAGCAATGGTCTCTGTGTTAGCTGTATAAAGAGCAAACATTCACAAATGAAAGTTGCATTTCTTCTCTCTCTCCTTTGCAGGACAATCAGGACCTACTGGCAGTAATGGTATTAAAGGCACTAAAGGATTACCAGGACAAAATGGCATCAGAGGCTCTCCAGGTCTGTTGCTTGTTTGCCTATTTGTAGTTCTTTTTCTGTCTTTATTTTTCCTGTTTTTCTCACTGTTGAAGAAAAATCAGTGGGTGATAAGCAATGCTGGTCCTAGTCAAAATAGACTCATTTAAGTTAATCGACTAACTTAGGTTCATTAATATCAATGGCTCTATTCCGAGTGTAAAGTTGGATGCAATCCATAATGTTTTAGTTTTTCATAGCTTTTTCTTTATACTTCAATGAAAAGCTGCTTCATCTCTTCTGGTCTCTACCACTGAGGTTTCCCACTGGTGGTCCAGAATTTGTACTGGCCAATTCGAGAACTTGCCTATATTTTTCAAGGTATACACTTTCCACAGTGGGCTCTACTTTGCAGGAGGTATTTAACCAGAAGCTAGGCAGCTGTCTTTTCCTACTTACATTGTTTAGAATGGATCACTTGCATGCTGCATTACAAACCCTGCGCTAAGCAGGGATTGCTACTAGATGACCAGAGGTTTTCATTCAACTCTGTGATCCTATGAAACTGACTGCTACAGTTAAGCAGCAGAGCAGCAAATTGTGACTCAGAAAGTTACATGCAGCCCATCTGCCCTGTATTGTGCAGCTTGAGAAAAACACACATACTCATACCCACCCCATCTCTTTTTGCAGTTCTAGGCAAACTGTCAAACTAGGAGGTTTGCCAAATTCCTGCTGAGCCACCATATTTCACTGATAACATTTCACTTGGTGGATTATATGTCATGTAGGTTTTCTCTCTGGACACAATCCTCAATACTGACCAGAGGGAAAGGGTGGGTGAGCAGTTGCTCCTTCCTACTTCCTACTGCCTAGGCCTCTCCTTCATCTTGAAGAAGAGAAGAGTTTGGATTTGATATCCTGCCTTTCACTCCCCTTAAGGAGTCTCAAAGCGGCTAACATTCTCCTTTCCCTTCCTCCCCCACAACAAACACTCTGTGAGGTGAGTGGGGCTGAGAGACTTCAGAGAAGTGTGACTAGCCCAAGGTCACCCAGCAGCTGCATGTGGAGGAGCGGAGACGCGAACCCGGTTCACCAGATTACGAGTCTACCGCTCTTAACCACTACACCACACTGGCTCTCTTGAGATAATGGCAGATGATACCAACAGCAAGGAGGCACAGGAGCAGCCACAGTTGCTGATCACCTAGCTTCCACTGGTGCCATGGGAAATGTGGGTGGATTACTGTGGAATAGGAAAGCACAATTCCCGGCAGCTTTATCCTATACCATGAAGTGCTCCAACAAAAGCCTCTCATTAATCCTTGCAGGGCCACTCTCCTGCTCACAATAGAGAATATGAGCTTTCCCATTCTTTTTGTTGTGTTGTGAGCTACTTTGGACCTAAGAGTGGCATGGACATTTAAGTAAGGAATAATATGTGAATGATCAACACATCACTACAATGATGCTCCAATATTAGATCATTTCAAACCTAATATGACAACATAATTAATTGATAACATTGTAACTTTTTAAATTATTATAAAGTAAATTGTCATTCTAACTTATCCATTAATATCAACTGTAAGAAGCATTTCTAGTACAATCACATATTAAGAATAATAAAACCATCAACCACAAATAATATTTTTTCATCAAGGCTAAATTTTCAACATCATCCTCAGGTTCACCTGGGTTACTGGGTGATGATGGACCACCTGGTGAGAAGGGTAGCCAAGGACAGGATGGTATCCCTGGACCCCCAGGAGAGAAGGGAGCACAAGGTATCCCATTAATAATGTTCATTCTGTTTCAATATGTTCTAATATTTTGGGGGTCATTATGGAATTCATGTCATGTCAAAATTTATACTGTTGAAAAGCACTCACATTTTTAACTTTTTGTTGCTTTTATTGCAGATTAAAAATAAGTAATGTATTGATCAAGTTTTCAAAGTAGTTTGAGAATTACTAAAAGTTTCAGTTTTGATTCTTTAAAAACAACAACAACACACAAATAGGAGTGATTTGGATGATAATAACTGGAGATGTCAGTTGCTAGGTACAGATCTTTTTCAGTTATTCGGGTTTGTTAAGAGGAAAATATTGGGGAAGATAACTGAGCCTGACGTTCCATTTGCTTCTAAAGCTGCACTTTTGGAGTATTTGAAAGGAGGGATCCTGAATAAGACTTAGAACTAGTAATACATTGGTTAATATCAGCTGGAATGTGTAATGCAGTAATGGTACAGGCAAATATGTGCAAATACTTTGTTACTGGATAGATATATGTTTGTGAATCCTAGAAATAAGGACTTTCAGTATTGCATTCAGCTATGTTTCTGTTCCTGTTATTGCAATGTATTGTATTGTATTTTTGTTCTGCATTTGTAATGAAAACAATTATGAATACAGGTTCTCCAGGACAGCAAATTCCTGGTCCTCCAGGCATTCCTGGTCCTAAAGGTAAAATTAAATTGTTGTGGGGGTTTTTTTTTTGGGGGGGGGGAATGAAAGTCAGAACTGTAAGTCTTAAAACGAGCTTAATTCTGTCTGCTTAAGCCCAGAGTAAACCAGTTTACTTCAAAATGTTATTGTCTATTGCTTTTTGATTTTGGTTGCCATGCACCTAAAATGTGTCATGCCTCTATAAAAGTATATTAAAGTTGACTAACCTGTACCTAATGGTTGTTTAAATACTGCATAGGTGTCAAAGGAGACATTGGGGTGCCTGGTATACCAGGGCCACCAGGTATGAAAGGTAGTATGGGAGACCAGGGACCAATTGGACCTCCAGGCTTACCTGGACAACCAGGACTTCCCGGGAAACCAGGTGCAATAATTGCTGGCCAAAAAGGAAACAGAGGCCCCCCTGGTCCTGATGGAAAACCAGGTAGGAACTGCTATTTTATCATACCTAACACAAGTACCGGTAAAATAGAGACTGTGAGATAATACTTAATAAGTTAGGCTGTCTCGCTTTCAGTTATAATGTAGGTTGTGCCTCTCTGAATTCCACACAATTCCTGGTTGTATGTATTATAAAACTATCTCCTTTTTAAAACGATATAGGTGTTCCTGGTATTCCAGGACCTGCTGGACTCCCTAGCTATAGTATTAAAGGAAATAAAGGTGTTCGAGGAAATGATGGCTTACCAGGCCCGCCAGGAACTAGAGGTGACCTTGGTCTACCTGGGCCAGCAGTAAGTGAAATAATTACATTTAATTATCCACTCACTATTTTAACCTTTGGTTGTAGGCTGCAACACATTTCAGCAAAGAAACCAAAACAAAATTACTACAAAATAGAAAAATGAGATGTGAGCATCAGTGTGTAGGCACTTATTTTTATATCATACAGCTATTGGTGCATTTAAACAAATTCATATTTCAGTAATGAGATGTTGTGCTTTATTTTATCAATGCCAGGATATTTATCAACAATTAGGGGAATATCTAGTTTGCAGTCTTTCACACTTATCCTAGAAAGCACCATCTTAACTCTAAGGACTTCAGTAAAAGACGCTCTCCTCTCATTAAGTCTAGTCACTCTAATGCTGCAACTTTGGAGACTTATTCAGAAATCTGCCTCTTGGCTAATCTGCTGTTGACTGAAATTCAGCTATATTTGCCTTACTAAAATAACTGGGGAAATAGCAGACCACTCAAAATCGTTACTGATTTTGCCAACAGTGTCTCTTTCTAACAGTAGGGAAATCTTGCAGCAACACTGTCTTTCCAGGAACAGTAAGAATTTGGGTGGTGCTAGACATGCCACCTGAAATTATCACAAAATGCAACCAGTTGTAACCCTGCTTTTGCTGAGATAATAGAAGTCTGTTACAGAAATCTGTTCTCTCACTTACAGGGGATATCAGCAAGTGAGAGAAAGATTTGCGTAACCAACTCATGAACTTGCTAAATTCTCCCCTGCAAATGCCCCACAGCCAGACTGTCGTCTCATTTTGCCTTTCTCTGCCTCTATCCTCTCCCTGCTCACAGAAACTGCTGAAAACCAACAAGCAAGTCTAGCTTGTGTATAGTTACTGAAACAAGATTATTTTTCTCATCTCGTTGTCTGACTTACAGGGAACTGAAGGCATCCCTGGCTATCAAGGTCCTAGAGGTGAACCTGGTTTCCCGGATTCCCAGGCATCAAAGGTATTTGACTAACTTTGTAAAGCACCTTGTTATTTTATACAAAAGACTGCCAGGATACATTTCGGTAAATAATAAATGAATATCTTGTATACTGCGCTTCATGAGTAAACAGAGAGGCTGGCATGCAGTGGACACAGAGCTTCTTCCATAGAATAAGGGGTAGAAAGGTGGCAGCTCTGGAGTTGTGGTTGGTTTGTTGCTAGCATTTTGCAGTGCAGGTTCCAGGTTTTGGGAGGCCTTGGGCAAGGAGCTATGAATGGGTCCCACCTTACGCAGTGACCCTGCTGCTCATTCATTTGCCCTCTACCAATTCACACAGCTGTCCAGGGGGAGAATGCAAGGCAAGTGCAGGATGCTTCTCTCGTCTCCTCACTATTGACACTGATTTAGAGAGGGCAGGTGATCAGGCAATAGAAACAAGGAGGTGGAGGAACAGGACCAGGAAGGGGGGGAGGATGCAGGGAATGGCAGAAGCGGCTCACCCAGCAAAGCAGAGCTGCAACAATAGCCTCCCAGCAGTGGAGTCACTCACTACAGCTTACCAGGAGGAGCGAGGCAGTTGGTGAGGTTGGGGCTGCACAGGTGTACCACCAGCAGGAACACCAGATTGGTTATACTGGGTCATCCTTGCAGGCCTGGCCTGACCTCCTTCACATGCCTCCTAGTATTGCTGCAGTTCCACTCCTTAGGTGAACTGTTTCTGGGGTTTCCTTCCTTGTGTGGGCCAGCAGTTGAAAGGCAGACAATGTTTGCACTTACCTGCCTTCCTAACAATGCAGTGTAGAAAGAACTAGTTGCCACCGATGACTAAGTAGGATGAATCCCTCCTTCTTTTTCTTCTTTGCCTTTGGACATAGGCCAGTTAAGGGAAAAGTTTTCTTTTTTAAGTATCCTGCTGTGCAGCTGCTTTGGAAAGGAGCCTTTGAGCTAAGCAACAGGAAGCATTTGGAATGTGATAATTCAGTTCTTAACTAGGTTACAGCTGTCATTGTTTTTCTGTTCTGCATTTCTGTTTCTACCAAGGTACACAAAGTGACTTATAACTAAATGCACTACAAAATGTAAAAGCTTGCCTTGCAATGAAAGTTAAGGGGAGAAACAATTAAACAGGGTACAGTAGTGAGCACCAGAGCATCATTTGGATGCTGGAAGTTCATCATAAGACCTTCGTATCAGGGCTACTTGGCTTCAGGATGTCTGCCCACCTCATATAAAAAGGTAAAGGTCCAGTCACAGACGACTCAGGTTGCGGCGCTCATCTCGCTCTATAGGTCGAGGGAGCTGGCATTTTTCCACAGACAGCTTCCGGGTCATGTGACCAACATGACTAAGCCGCTTCTGGCAAACCAGAGCAGCGCACAGAAACGCTGTTTACCTTCCCGCCAGAGCGGTACCTATTTATCTACTTGCACTTGACGTGCTTTCGAACTACTAGGTTGGCAGGAGCAGGGACCTAGCAACGGGAGCTCACTCCGTCGCAGGGATTCGAACCGCCGACCTTCCAATCAGCAAGCCCTAGGCTCCATGGTTTAGACCACAGCCTCATATACTCAAGGCTTATTTGCTGGGCAGAGAAGTGTGACTCAGCCAAGCCTTCCTTGACTCATCTTTAGATGTGTGGCAGTGCATGGACTACATTTGCTACTCTCCTGGGCTTCAAAGTCAGGGTAGGATTATTTAGACAGGAGGAGGAGAGGCTGGTGGAAATTGGGCCAGCACATCTCATCCAATGAAATAGAGGCATACCCTGGGAGAAAAGGAATTGGGAAAGAACATTTACATTTACTCCACTGAAAGTGTATTTAACAGTGTTCAGCAGGACTTACTTCCAGGAAGGAGTTTCAGGCTATGCTAACCTAATGAAGTAGGTCACTGCAAATTGATATATTAATAAAATTATCACCCTTTTATTTTATTTAATAACCCAATTATTTGTCTCGTGTGTTTCTTATAGGTACAAAAATTCCCCTAAGTAATGAGCCAACTTGGAACTTTAGGAAGGGCAGCAGTTGTTTTTATTGATACAAAATCAACATTAGGCTACAATCCTATGCACTAGGAATGTGAAACCTCTGGCCCTCCATATGTTGCTAGACATTTCCCATCAGTCCTGGCCAGCATGGCCAATGGTCAGGGCTGATGGGATTGTGGTCCAGCAACATATGGAGGGCCACAGGTTCCCCATCCTTGCTATACATAGTTACCTGAAAATAAGTCACATTGAACTCAGTGCAGCTAGCTTCAGATTCGACATGTATTAATATGCTTCATATTAGTTGCTGGGAGATTGTGCAGATTAAATCAGGAGTGGCTAGCCTGCAGCCTACAGGCCATATCTGGCCTACAAACGTTTCTATGTGGCCCCCAAGACAGCTTCCACTTTTTTTAAAAAAAACCCACTACCTATTATTATGAAACTCATTCATAACAACTCTTAACAAGACTGTCTCATTTCTAATAATGTCAGGTCTTCTTTTCAGGAGAAATGGGTAATCAAGGGCCACCTGGGCAAATAGGAGTACCAGGACCTGCAGGGTCAAAGGGACCACCTGGTGAGTATACTTGACCGGTATCTATAAAGCTGCCCTTGGTTCCTTTGGGAGGAAGGCAGGATTTGCATATCCTCATCATCTCTCTGGGTCTACCATCCCACCTCATCTCCTTTGTTTTTTAATACAGTAACCAACTATTTGTTTATCCATTCATTTACTAGGTCCGCCTGGAGCACCCGTGGCTGCTGTCTCTTTCCCAGGAAACCCAGGACCTGCTGGACCTCCAGGAAACCTAGGAAGCCCAGGAGATCCAGGTCCCAGAGGACCACCAGGGCCGCCAGGTACAAGTTTCATAATATCTCCCTTCTGTTTTATCTAATAGAGGAGAGGAACATCAGGGCCAGATAACATGTCCTGCATAACCTAAGACGTGGCACCATAAAAGTTTTTGCCCCGGCTGGAATAGGTCCTTTAAATCTTATCGTGCCTCTTGCTTGTCTGGATAGATAGAGAAAGGTGAGAGAGAGAGACAGAGACTAGCCTACTGTATAAGTTGGCATTTGTTGTTCTGCCCATGATTTTCTCTGGCTCCACCCACTGCTGGTATGTGGCCCAGAAGGAAATGTGACCCTTGATGGAAAAAGATTCCCCTGTCCTGGCGTAGATAAGCACAGTGGGGCACATAGATCTGCAGCAATTTACAATCCAGTTGCATTTATTCATTTAACTATTCCGAGGCTTTGTTTTCAGGTCAAACCCTTTCAAGGCAGCTTCCAGCATACAAATAACTATAAAAGTTAACAATAGCAACTAGCAACAAACTAGCACTAACAACAAAATACTAAAGCTTTTGAAACATTAAAATATATTAAAATGTTAAGCCCAGAATGTTATATACAAGTAACATAATATGAGCCTTGGAAGGACCATCCATCCATTCATTTCATTCATTCATTCATTCATTCATTCATTTATTGATTGATTGATTGATTGGCATTGCAAATTGAAATGTATATTAAAGCAACAAATAGGTGTTTTTCATTGCTGTAAATAGTCATGTCCTACACAGCAAAATATTCCTGCTATCTAAATATTCCTTGTTTGCTTCAGAATCAGATAAGTTATTGAAACCTGAGGACAAATCCAGAGGGTGCCTACATTGATACCTTACTATATGCTAACATGTGCTTTATTATCTGAATCCAGGACCTCCAGGTGTAAAGGGCCAGCTAGGTCGTCTTGGGATACCTGGCATACCTGGGCCACCTGGACTAAAAGGAGACAAGGGCTTTCAAGGCCCGAAAGGTACTGTAAATAAGATATACCGGTAGATAGTGCTACACTGTAATAATTACATTTGTGTCATTAGTTAGTTTTGAGTGCACAGGCCTGAAATACCTGATGATCCCTTGTAGGCAGTGCATTGGCTACCATTGAATTTTGAGGGGGCCCGACCCCCTCCTTGAAAAATTTGAGGGAGCCCTTGGTCCTCGCCCCCCCCCAGATAGTGCACCTGCCTTTGACTTCAAGCAGGGGCGGCCAAGGTAGAGGGGACACTGCTTCCACAACCTTCTTCCCCAGCCAGCAGGATTGGGCTGTGGCTGTGGTGATAAATCTACTGCCCCATGACTCATGGTTCCTTATTAGGATGGTTCTGCCCCTCTTTAGTTTGTCTAGGATTTGTAGAATACTGGAAGCTTTCTCCAGCTACTTCATTGGTCTGTAGTACCAGGTGAGATGTCATTTTTTTAAAAATACAAAGGCATTGCCACAGTCCTTAGATTATTAACACTTTCCCAAAAATGTTTCCTTTCACATTCAGTTTGTTGTATTACAGACTATCACCATAAAACAAAAACCAGGTTGCTCTGTAAAATTTATTTCTCCTGCTTTGATCTGGCAAGTCTAACTGTATTCCAACAGTGACTTTTTTTTTATCTAATGTGTTGATACCGCAAGGTCAGGTTGGCCAAGATATGATAATTGTGCAATTTGTGCTCACATACAGCAGGAGTGAGGAACCCCCAGCCCATGGGCCAACCTCTGCCCTCCATGGGGTCCAGTTAGCTATTCCAGGCCGTTTTTCCTAAACCACGTGTACCCACCTATTTGCTGACATCATTGGTGATGTCACTGGTGACATCAGCTGATGGATGGGAGGGCAGGGTTTAATCTCACATTGGCTGTGCTGCCCTGGATCACACAGTATTTAATTCCCACTCATCAGTTGATGAAGAAAAATTAGAGCCCTTTGCCTAGTGATAGGTGGTGGTGGGGAGATGGGGGAATCCCTCCCCCACTGCCACAGCTGCCATCCACTCGCTTAAAAGAGACCCAGAGCAAAATGGCTGCAAAGCACCATTTGAGGCAGCCTCCCTCCTGATAAGACTTACAAAGCCACGCAGGTGATTTTGAACGGAGGAGGGCAGTCCCTCACCAATCAAATTTGCCCCTTGAGGCTGATCCTGATAAAGATCTGGCACATGGAGCCAAAACAACATATCCTACCCTGACGTGCATCCTCTCTCAGATACAAAAACACAAATACATGTATTTATTTATTTTTACCTATTTTTTCTTTATTTTAGGTTTGCCTGGAATGCTTGGGTTTCCTGGTGAGAAGGGACTCCCAGGATTCCCAGGAAGTTGCTTAACGGGCCCAGTCAAAAGGGGCTTCATCTTTTCTCGGCACAGCCAGTCAACAGAGATTCCGTCATGTCCATCTGGGACATCTCAAATCTATAGTGGTTATTCTCTCCTTTTTGTACAAGGGAACGAGCAAGCACATGGGCAAGATCTTGGTACTTTTATAAATATATGCTTCAGTTGATTTCTTTTAAAGGGGACATTTTCATTCAGCAGGACAACCATACCAACTCTGTTGTTACACAAAATAAAAAATCTCAGTGCCTGGCTTAGATTACATAATTATGTAAGGAAAAGTTGTTTTTTTAATGCTACTCACCCTGGAGCAGATTGTGCTTATTTGAACAGGCCTGAGAAAGTAGCCTCCTATAGTTATTTCTCTTGATGAGAACCCCTGGAAAATAATAGTGTAGCAGAGACACTACATTTTCCTTTAGCCACCTCAGTTCCTATCTGCATTTCTTTACATGATATTATATGCTCCTGTATTACAGCTGTTGCAGAAATGTTACAGAAGTGCTGCAACATTGACTTCTCATCGTTTCCGACTTTTTCAGTTTTATCTCATACAATTGCATTTCCTTTGTTAGAGTGGAGGGATGATTCCAACTGTAGTGTCTAATCTCCAAAATATTTCCCACTCCCTTATCTTTCAGTCACACTATATTTAGGTGCTAAATAGCATTTAGCTTTCTCCATTAATAAAGGGCCTTTGCCACCCCTAGTTATTCTGAAGTTGCCCCTATTACAGCATCTCAGTTGCTTATTACTGTACTATAAATCGGATTTTGCAACAGATCTATACAAAGAAGCTCATCATAGATTCTCTTCTGAATCTTCTAGGTTCAGCCGGTAGCTGCCTTCAGAGATTTACTACCATGCCTTTTTTATTATGTAATCCCAGTAACGTTTGCCGATTTGCTTCCCGCAATGACTATTCATACTGGCTGTCAACGGCAGAGCCTATGCCATTAGATATGGCACCAATTTCTGGGAAAGCTTTGGAGCCTTATATTAGCAGGTAGTAGTTGTGTTCCTTTTCTGTTTGTGTTTTCACATGGATTTGTTTGCTCATTTGTTTTGGATAAATGTGTCGTAGATTATGATTTATCAGCTGTTTCTAGTACAGATTTGTGGAGAAGGTCAGGGCCAGCCCAATCATTGTGCAAATTGACACAACTTGCTAAGGCGGTGGGGGCATGGAGGGCAGAAAATTGTCACCCCACCAGGTACCTGCTCATTGCCAACCAGGTGCCCATTTTCCAAGATGCCACCCTGTTATGTATTCAGCGGTGTGTGTTGCCTGATCTTGAGTCTGGACTAAGGATTCTGAGCCCCTGTGTTCTGATTCGATACATGATATCCAATCACAGAACATTTCAGGATTTCGGCCTCTGCCATTGGCTCTTAAATTCTGACTTATGATTTGCAGCTTGGAAGTTTATTCAGCCAATCACGTTGGGAGTGGGAGTGGCCCAGGCCTCCAGAAATGTACCGTATTTTTCGCTCTATTGGACGCACCGGACCACAGGACGCACCTAGTTTTTAGAGGGGGAAATCAAGGAAAAAAATATTATTCCCCCCCAGCCCCAAAGAGCAACGGACAGGCTGCGCGCTTCCTCTTTAGCCTTGAGCAGCATCTTTAGCCTTGCACAACGGGATGGATCGTGCCCGCTGTCCACCGGGGCTGGACTAGATGACTCCTGGGGTTCCCTTCCAACCCTGCAATTCTGTGACCTCGGAAATTGTTGGGGGTCTCCACCACTGGAGGCTTTTAAGCAGCGGTTGGGGGACCATCTGCCTGGCGTTCTTTAGCTGTGATTCCTACATTGTGATGGGGCTGGGCTAGATGACACTCGGGTGGCCCTCCCAACTCTATACAGTCCTACACTTCTGCAGCAGGAGATCCACAGCCACTTCACACAATGCCCATCCCAATTTTCATTGGAGAGACATGTGGCTTCACTGTCTAGGTAGGTACCCCCCTACCTGCCACTATTCCCTCACCCCACTTAAGCCGAGGGAATTCCTGCCAGGTGAGGCAGAGAAGCTCCCAGGTGAGGCAAGGGTTAAGATCTACCTCTGGTAAATGGCTTTGTATCCTCCCTCTTTCCCTTTTCTCTTCTTCTTCTATGCTAGCTCCTTCTCTTGTGTTTTGTTTAATCTGTTTTTATTGTATACTAAAATAAAAGCTGCAAAGTTTCCTTTTTTATAATATTCCCCCCCTCCAAACTAAAACGTTAATCTAGATAAAAACACTGATCCAGAGGAAAATAAGGGGGTGGAGAAAGGACGAAAAAAGAAAAAGAGGTAGAGATAGAGATAGAGAGATTTTTTTAAAGTTATTTAGCCTTGCGTAGCCTCCTGCGGCTGGAGAGGCGCGCACAGCTAAAGAGGAAGCCCGGGCAGCGAGCGGGATGGATCGCACTCGCTGCCCAGGCTTCCTCTTTAGCCTTGCGCAGCCTCCCACGACTAGAGAGATTGCGCAAGGCTTTTCTAGAGGAGGGAGAAGGGACTGACTGGCCGCTTCGGTCCCTTCTCCCTCCTGGGGAAAAGCCCACAAGAGCTGCGCGAAGCTTGTGTGTGGCTCTTGGGGGCTTTTCCTGCTTGCCTCCCCCCCTGCATTTCTCCATAGGATGCACAGACTTTTCCCCTTAGTTTTTAAGATGGAAAAACTGCGTCCTATGGTGCGAAAAATACGGTATATAAGCAGTTGTTTTGCCCCTATTGTCCAGTTCTGTAGTTCAATAAAGCTTCTTGCTATTATAACTATGTCTTGCCTTGTAGGAACCCACCTACACTTCACACCCCACCACCAGCAGCAGCAGTGCCAGTGGCATTCAAGTGGCAGTACTCTAGAGAGTGACCCTTTGCAGCCCTGCTCTTTAGTACCGTTTTGTTTTGTTGGGACAGTAGAGTTTCTTCCTAATAGCAATGATGTCATTGTTAGTTAGATTTGGCTACATAACAACATAACTGAAGGCAAATGCAGGAGAGAGGGAAAGTGAATAGCTAAAAGTCAATTTGTGGGCTGCATCCTAAACGAGCACTTGCCTAATGACTTTGTATGCCATGTTGTAGATGCACTGTCTGCGAAGTCCCTGCAGTGATGATAGCAGTTCACAGCCAAACCACTTCAGTTCCACCATGTCCTCAAGGCTGGCAGTCTGTTTGGAAAGGGTATTCTTTTGTTATGGTAAGAAAGAAAGAAAAGGGGTGATCTCACTGCACTTTGGAAGTAGTAATATGGTAGGAAGGGATGGGGGAACAGTTCCTAAAAGTAGCCAGTAAAAGGTATTACCATGATACTGGCAAAAATTAGAAACTGCTATATAAAACTTGTTTTGGGCAACTGTGGTTCCTGCATTTTGGGATACAACTAGTGCCTCAGTTTTAAGCTGTGGATTTTACATCATCAAAAAATTGAACAGGTTTTCATGGAAGACATGTATGCTCACAGTACACAGGTGCAGGCTCAGAAGCTTCTGGACAAGCGCTGGCATCTCCAGGATCATGCTTGGAAAAATTTCACGCCATTCCATTTATTGAATGCCATGGCCGAGGGACATGCAATTATTACTCAAACTCCTACAGCTTCTGGCTGGCTTCAATAAATCCAAGAAGAATGTTCAGGTATGCTAACTAACCTTCCTTTGTGAGTGAGCCACCACAACGGAACAGCTAACGCAGCAGGAGCTCTGGTACCAACAAAAAAAGCTCAATGAAAGCAGCAACTGCTCCACTCGTATCAGTTCTGAAGACGGAGGGCAGTATTCAAATGCATTTCCATGCTAGCACAAGGTTAAGCACCAGCACAAGGGGTTGGGTCACCCCCTCTCCCTCCCCTGGTGTGTACCCTGAATTTAGGCAGCACATTGGGGGGAGGAGAGGGGGAGGTCATTCTGTTGTGCAAGGAAAAATATTTGAACTGGCTGAACTATTTGCATAGCCCTATGTTGACTACAGTGGAATGCCCCCTGCAAGGACCATACCTCTTGATCCGTTCCACCCTGTCAATAGCTGCATAAACTTATTTGTATAGAATCTATTATTCTAATTGTATGTGTTGGGGTGCTAGCACGAGCACAGGAGCAAAAGTGGCATCAGTACCAGGGCAGCACTAGCATAAGGAGAGCAGCCATCCCCATAAGCCTTTGTTAGGATTACTATGTAGGATCCTGTGAGCCGCTACCATGTAACCACTACCACAGCTTACAGGAGTGTGCCATTAATTTGGCTGCATCTATACCTCTTTAACATGTAGTGTGCAGTACCTTTTTGTGGCATGGCAATTTAATTGTTTCTAACCTTGCATTTTGAGATAATACTGATTATTATCATAATTCTGAGTTTCATAGATGCAGATTGAACCAGTGTTTTTCTTCACTATAATCACCTATTCCTGTTCCTCCTGCCACTTGTTCCAGCTTCTGCATGTAGTACTAAACCAGTTTAGCATTATGTAGGAATGCAGCTAATGACTCGTACTTTTGTGGAACCATTGTGTTTATCAGCCTGTTTTTTACGCGGAGACATTTTCATACGTACATTTAAACATTTTCATGCACTGCTAACATGTACAAGCACATAAACATTTGTCCTTTGCTAGCTGCCTGCCATTATGAGTCCCATTTAAGTAGATACTGCTATGATCAGTTTGTTATTAATTGCTGTGGTTTAAGCCACTTGGTGTAACATATGAGGTGGAATAAGCCCAAGCAAAGCCTTGGGCTTGTTTATTCCCTCTTGTTCTACCTCCTGTGTAGTCAGGAGACTTCTGTTGTGTTAAGTTTCACTTTCAGTGAATCCTGGTTTGTTATATGAACCATGGAATGGGTCACACACCACACTAAGCCAAACAGTGGCATAGCATGTTGTGTGAACCAGGCTCTTGTAGTTTAAAACAAAGTATTCAATTTCAAACTAAGAAAACTTCAAAGCATGAATTATTAACCAACCTTTGTTTTAAACCTCTTCTCTGGTTAATATGGCATAGCAAACTGGGATTTTCTGAAAGTGAGACCAAATGCGGAAGGAGAAGGGGCAGCAGAGTACATGGTCCAAGGGATTTGCTCAGGTTTGTTTTAGCTTTTGCACGTAGCACTAAACCACAGTTTAGCGTTATGTAGGAATGCAGTCAATGACTCATACTTTTGTGGAATCACTGTGTTTACCAGCCTGGGGTTTTTTTTAACACGGAGAGTTTCCTTCCCTATAGAATGTGCATGGTTTTTTCTTTTTCTTTTTAAGGAAACCATTGTCGCAGACTCTGAAAGCTGGAGAAATGGAAAAAATCATAAGTCGCTGCCAAGTCTGCATGAGGAGACCCAGCTAAACAGAACTGTCATTAGAGAACGAAGCTCCAGTTTTGTGTCGCCAAACTAAAATAAACCAAAAAGGTTTTGTGAGCTTGTAATATGGTGTTTTAAAAGCTGCAGAGACGAGAACGCACTCCACAAAGCAGTGGGAACAGAAGTGCAGGGGAAACGTAGCTTCTGGACCAAGCATGCCACTCATTTGTATGTTGGATAGAGTTGCACACTGCGCTGCTTTAGTGTAACTGTTGGAATCTTCTCAATCTCCTCTCCCCTTTACAAAGAGAACAGTAGCCCCCTGCCTGACCAGATATGTGACCCTGCTCTCCAGGGTGAACCAGCATACAGCAGCACTCTTACTGAAGGTAGCTAGCTGATAATAAAGCACAAGTGACCCAGGCATCATTCTCTGTGTTAGTTTATTCCAGCAGTTACAGTATGACACAAGGCCGGACTCAACTGAGTTGTGCTGGTGGGAGCCAGTGCGACAAGTCCTGCTAGGGCAATAGGACTTCCCCACTCTCTTCTTCCCTGGATAGCTCTGTTGGTTAGAGTGTGGGGCTGATAACGCCAAAGTTGCAGGTTTGATCCCCGTATGGGACAGCTGCATATTCCTGCATTGCAGAGGGTTCGACTAGATGATCATCAGGGTCCCTTCCAGCTCTACAATTCTATGAATCTTCCCTTGCAAGCATCTGCTCGGGTCAGGAGAACCCCCGGAATGGGTCGCAGGGGAGGAGAGGGAAGATCATTCCACCTAGCAGGCAAGAATATTTGTGCTTACAGAATTCCACTCACAGAGTGCAACTATCCAAAATGCACATTAATGCCATATGCTGGGTTCAGATACTGTGCCTTCCCTCCACTTTTAGTTTCTAACACTAGGTGGCGTGTGTTCTTTTTCTCTACAGTTTCACAGGTGCCTTAACTAAAGCCAAACTGTATTTGCACAGTAAACTTGAAGATACCAATGCGGTACTATAATGAAATTTGAAATAGTGCAATATTTTAGCTTTTGTTTCTAGTAAAATGCAAAGCACTTTCTTGGAGTAAATTGTTTGTGTTGGCAGTACTCAAAGGTTGTCACCTTCTGAACTCTGCCAACTCCTGGGTCCGTATAAATCTGAATTAGAGCGTCTTTTTAATCTAGAAAAGGACAGCTCAAGCTGCCTTTCTTGTGCTTTTCTACCTGCAAAATGGAGCAATCAGGGTAGTGTTGGTTTACATAAGTGTTGCCAAAGCAGATATTATTTAAGTTTGAAACTCTGAAGCAACAAGCAATTAAGTGGGAGGGGGCTGCATGAAACTTTCGAAAGTTCATCAAATGAATTATAATTCTCCAGTCGCCCTTCCTTTGGCAAAGAAAGAGAATTTTAACATATTCATAGCAGTGCAATAGAAATTTACAAGATGAACTTGTAGGTAAGTTACCCTCTAAATACCTCTGTGATACATTTGCATATTTATTGGATCCTACTAACTTCAGTTAGTATTTTGGCCTAAAAATGCAAATCTTATGTGATTTATGCTGCCTTTGGATTGGTTCCAGATTAAGCTAGCTATGCTTTGATCCCATTGAAATAAAAGGGATAAGAGAAGCATGAGTACCTTAAATCCTTTTGGGACTAAGGTATGACTAACCTAATACGGCTCCAGCCTGAGGCTACTGAGGCAGAACTGACAAACTATAAATGGTCACTTTCCTGATAACCCTTAACAAGAATAATCAACCAGAAACTGAAATGGAAGAAAATTGGTTTTCATTCAGCCTGTATATGTAGCACAAATGATCAGTATACAGTATTGTACTATGTGTTGAAACTGTGCTTGTAATTTTTATTTTTATTTTGAGGCTGAATAGGCTTATTCAGAATGAGGCTGGAGTATGATGTCAAAAATGTGCACCAAATTTAAATGGGATCTCCCATAAGAATATTTTGTATGGTACTTTATGTATGGTACTTTTTTGTATGGTACTTTAGCCACTGCAATAAATGCAAAACCTCTCCTTTTTGTCTCTATTATAAGGTATCAGGTAGTATCTGCACATTTAATTTGTTCTAAACTGTTTTATTGTTTGTATTTTACATTGTTGTGACCCACCGTGGGGCCTTATGGTGAAGGGTGGGTAATAAATCTAATAATGATAACTTTTCTGGACATCAATGGTGGTTGAAAACATCAGCCAAATTTAATCAGAGTCCATCCAGTGAAACCCAAGCAGCTAAAGGTAATAGCTTTTCAGCAAATTCAAGTGGTACTGTCTGGGGGAAGGTTTATATAGAACCTGTGATTTAAGTAAACCAACTCTGCAACCCTATGCATTTACTCAGAAGTCACACTTTGTTCAATGAGCTTTCAGAGCAAACTTATATGTGTCTATTCAGATGAAAGCCTCATTGAGTTCAATGGGATTTGTTCCCAGGTAAAGTGAGTATAGGAGTGCAAATTTAGGTACATCATTCTGATCCAGCAAAAGGAGACTTCCATGCACAGCTAATGCAGATGTGCATCTGGATCTAAAAACTCGTGACAAGGTACATCCAATTCCTGTTGAACTTGATGATGGGGGCTGCACAGGCAATCTCAGCTTAGGGCCACTAATTGTGTTAGTGTGCAACAAAGCACAGCTGGAATTGGATCAGGGTCTTTATATATTATTATAATTTATGTACGTTTTTTGTATAAAAGTGTAGTTCTGAATGTTTTGTATTTATAACATTGCACTTGAAAGAATTACGGAAAATATTAACGTTAACATTAAGGTTGCTCAATGCTTTTGCACAAGTATCAGCATTGCAATATTTAACAATAATAATCTTATCTCATTAATCTACATACTTGTGTAAATGTATAATTCTAAATAAAGGATTTAGAGATCTACAAGTGTGCCATTTCCCCCTCATTACTAATGGGTATTTTTGCAAGTAAACATTTTTATTTTATTTATATTTTAATTACTCTGGTCTCTGTCTTTTAATAGTGGACTTTTAGTGATAACAATGCTGCAAAATCATGCTGATGCCAAATCTTGCTGTCCTGAAAATTAAGTGCTTAAGCCAACCCCAGAATCATTACAGCATCACAGATAATTACGGTACATTATACCGAACACTTCATATGCTCTGTAACTGCAAGCAATCGGATGTGTCAATGCAAATGTTCTGGTAGTAAATAAAATGTCTTGTGGGACAGATTTTTGAATTATATTCTTCTTTCTGGCCTCTTATCAATAGCACAAATCAATCAAACACAAACTTCTTTTAAAGTGACTTTTTGTTAGATGCATGGGAAAACGACATAAATTCCTAGGCCCCAGATATCTACCTTAATGTTAACTATTGGCTGAATACATGTTTCATAGAGAATAGATTGTTATGCCACACTACAACTAAAATTTAGAAGGAAAGCTTATATGCAATAAAAGATGAGAACTTAGCAGATACAAATTAAACATAAAATTATACATAACAGCATACAAACTAATTTGCTAAGAGTTTAAAATTCTTAAAGGATCAGGGGATGGGGGCTAACAGGGGAAGCCTGTGCTTGATATCAAAAGAAACCTCCCTGGATGCTCCCATTTCACAGATGAGGCACAATCACTGAGAGGGCTCTTTCCCCACTTCCCATCTGCTGTATCTCATTTGTTGAACACCTACAGAAAGCCTCCACAGTTGATCCCAGGGCAGGCTAATAAGCAACCCTAAAACAAGTAAACGATTGCATGTTTATAGGTTTCCCATCACTCCCATAAATAATAAAATATACAGCATCTACTGTTTATTTTGGAAAGGGGCTTGTCTGTTTGATATGCATTTGGACACTTCTTCAGCTACCATAACCAAATTCTGTATTATGATTCCTGAGATCCAGAATCAGGATTTTGTTTATGTTTAGATATAATTGGGCACCATTTTGAATCAATATCTCAGACAACCCTTTCCAAGCTGCACTGATTTTAATGACTGGCTTCAAAACTGCATCATTTTATATATATTTTTCTTGGAATTCCTGAGCAGCATCAGGTATAAGGCTGCTAAAGGTAAAGGTAAAGGTACCCCTGCCCGTACGGGCCAGTCTTGACAGACTCTAGGGTTGTGCGCCCATCTCACTCAAGAGGCCGAGGGCCAGCGCTGTCCGAAGACACTTCCGGGTCACGTGGCCAGCGTGACAAGCTGCATCTGGCGAGCCAGCGCAGCACACGGAACGCCGTTTACCTTCCCGCTGGTAAGCGGTCCCTATTTATCTACTTGCACCCGAAGGTGCTTTCGAACTGCTAGGTTGGCAGGCGCTGGGACCGAACAACGGGAGCGCACCCCGTCGCAGGGATTCGAACCGCCGACCTTTCGATCGGCAAGTCCTAGGCGCTGAGGCTTTAACCCACAGCGCCACCTGCGTCCCTTATAGGCTGCTAGTATCCAATAAAGAACCTTTGTGTGTTCAATGCATGTTTTTCTTTATCCAGCTTATATGGAGTTTTGCATCACATGGAAGCTATGGAAAGTTAGCATCTTAGATCACTGGAAGCACCTGTAATAGCTGCCCTATGTTGATAAAAAACTTTAGGAAGCTAGATCACAGGGAAAGGCTAGCAGGTTCTTTTAAACAGAGCTGTGGCTAATGTACTTGACTCTCACTATCTAGTGTATGCAACAACATCTCTGAAACACACTGATTCATCAGCTGGTTAACAAACAGTGCCTAACAACTCAGAAGTAAATCCTATGGGATTCAAGTATGGTAAGAATTGTAGCCCAACTCAGCAGCATCAGTGGAATTGTCAAAGGAGGGAGTTCTTTATAGATTACCAATGGTTATAGTTTGGATATCCCTTAACTACCAGCCTAGTCTTATGCATGTTACTCAGCAGCCTCACTGAGTTAAAGAGAGCTGACTCTCTAGCAAGTGTACATAGGGCTGCAGCCTTGGACAAATTTGATTTTGTGGTACTTGTAAACATTTAAAAGTGCAGGTTGGCTGCATGCAAGTTAATAGAGCACAACATTTTTGTGTACATTTGAGTGCTGTATTTGGGCTGGGAGGGGGCAATATAAAGAACATGACTTTTTTTTTGCAATCTGAGTAGTTTATTTGGAAAACTTTTGGCTGGAAATCCAAACCAGCCTCTGCCTCACCTAACCTGTACTAATAATAATGGACAGCACTGCAGCAGTCATAAACCTCTTTACCTGCAAGATGGGCTGTACTGGTGGCGTTAGAAATTGCAGGTGCCAGCCTTTTCTTTTTAAGGGTTTGATTATAAGTGCCTCACTCAAAACAAGACCTGGGTACAAGAAAATCTCTAAAGGCAATGAGATGCTCCCCTCTTATTTTTACTTATTCTGTGTGGAAGCAAAATGATTGACAGGTAAGTAAGAGGGAAGAGAATAATATAATCCATGAGAACTATGTTTTGAAAAAGAACCTATAAATACGCAAGCAGATAAATTTCCAAAAGGAATACATGTACTGTAATTCAGTAACCACAGTGCAAGCGTACATGTAACTAAGCCCCATTAAATTCAGTGGGAGTAGACACAAGACTGCCATTCATTTTACAGTGAGTTGAAGTGTGCCTATGATTATGAAAGTTAAAAGGAAACATCTCCTGAGATCATACTTCTGGGGGTTGGGTGGAACAAAGAGCAAGGCAATAAATCCCACTCGCTGAGCATAATGGTTAAAAGCACCATCCTAGGCTAGTCTACTCAGAAGCAAGTCTTACTAAGTTCAGGCTAGTGCAGTGGCTCATCTAGTCTAGCATCATGTTCTCGCGGTGGTCAGTGGGGCTTCCTCCCAGGTATGGGTGTACCGGATTGAAAGCACTGATTCGAATCTCACAGCCCTAAATCCAAAATCGGAAAATAATAAAAATTGATATACCTTATATGGTAGGATTGTAATGTGCGTGAAGCGCCCTGAGCATGCGAATGTGCAACGCATGTGTGTGTGTACAAACAGAGAGTATATTACTTTGAAAGCAAGTGGGGCGGATCTACATGCAACAGGAAAACAAAACAACAAACCCTTAGCAGGATATTAAGATCCTTTCCCCGCTTTTAACCCTGAATATTTAGGTCTTCGCCGCCCACAGCCGCCAGTGTATCAAAAAACCCATCTGCAAATTCCGCAGCAAATTGAAGCTGAGCATCACGTATGAGCCAAATCCCCCACACTTATATAAGGGTCTGAGCTCTACTGTCTTACAGCACATGGGTCTCATCACTTAAACCACGCTGCATCGCCATGAGCAGCAGGGAAATGAATCTACAGTATGGTACTGTACTTGCTTCCCCCCCCGTCACCACAATAAAGATGGCCGCTGCAGCTTCAGACCCTGCCGGCTACCTTTTTTTTTCCCCTCCCCACCCCTTTTCCCGTCACGTGAGGTGTCACGGCTCATTCTTTCCCCCGCAGGTTACGGCAACTCTGTGGGGCCAATCGGGGTCGGTTTTTTTTTTTGTTTCGTTTCGTTGCTTCTGTTCCAGGGCTGTGTAGGCGAGGGGCTGCTTGGATGCCCTTTGGCTAACGGCCCCTGAGAGAGAGAGAGAGGAACCGAGACCAAAGCGGTCGGAGTGGATACGCGGGACCCAAGAAGCCGCCTCTCCGTTGGCCTCAGGGTGAGAACCGGAGAGAGTGCTGGTCTGGGCCTTCCCTTCCCCTCAGAAGGAGCCGGCGGCGGGGGGCGCGGGAATGGGGAGGAAGCTGCGAAATTAGCACACACACCTCCCACCACCGACCAGATGCCCGAGTCCAACCGCCGTTGCGCCTGGTTCCCTCAGCATTGGCGGGAAGGGGGGGCTTTATTCCCGCCCCATCTTTGAACCCCCTTCCTCATAAATAACGGTCCCTCAGCCCACACAGGTTCCTATCAAATCGTTGCCTCAGCCCGCCTCCCCTGCCGTTGCCGTTATTCCTCGCCCCCACCCCCGTCGCCGAGGCCTTTGTTACTGGCATGTCAAATCCCCCCCTCCAAAAAAACCAAAAAAAAAACCCATTGACCTGTTGGCTTACTGCGCTTTTCTCGGTTTCTGACCAGAGTCTCCCCCCACGACCACCCTTACCCCATAGCTGTCAACTTTCAGATTTGAAAATAAGGGATCAGCAGCCTCACCTGTCCCGGGGACAGTCTACGGGATATCTAACAATCCGGGATAGCAGCGGGGGAAAGGCGCTGGAATAAGGGAATTTCCTGCAAAAAAAGGGAAGGTTGACAACTATGCCCTTCCCCACCTCTCAGTTCAGTTATGGCTGTAATTTCTATTCTCAAGAGACCTTTACGTGCTATATATTGCATGCTTTGTGCTGAAGGTTCTTGTCAAAGCACCCAGCTTGCCACGTTGAGGGAATGGGTGCTGAATTGGGTAGACCTCTGCTCCAATCCTGCCTTGGGCTCTCCTTAACTGTTACCACAGAGTTTGCCTTATGAACCTGTTACACTCCTTGCCCTCAGGCCGTTAAACATTGCAAACCATGTCTTTGGTGCGCCTTAAGAAGGGCCCTGCAGGATCAGGCCAAAGGCCCATCTCATCCAGCTTCCTCTTCTCAAAGGAGTCATCATGGGAAGCCCGTAAGCGGGATCGGTGCACCTCAGCACTTTCCCCACTTGCGGAATCCCAGCAACTGGTCTTGCGAGCCAAGGGTCAGACACTCCTCTGTTGCCTGAAGATTTGGGTAACAACTTCTGGCAGTGCTTTTATGCCGAAAGCTGATTTCTGCATGTGCCAGCAGTTCCACTGGCTTTTCCCCAAACCGGTGTCCTCCAGATGCTGCCGATGTAGAATGCTTCAACCTGACACACTCATCCACAGGTGCACAAGGCTTACAGGGATTAATGTTGGTTCTTTGGGCTTTCTTCAGTGGTTGAAGGGAATGGCCCTGGATTCTTGGCCTTTGCTATCAAAGTCGGACCACAGGTACCTCATCTATGCTGTCCTTTGTTCACATTTTATTCTACATCTTAAGATTCTCAGTAGGGGTTGAGCCTTTTTACAGAAGTGTGAACATGCTGACGTTCATGTCACAATTGTTCCCACTTTTCTGTATGGCAGCAAAATAATATCTCTTGCTACACTGCAACATATGCAGCGTGGTTAGTTGTATTCTGATTTCTAAACTCCCACCACATATACTTATTCACCCTTGTGAGATTTGTAATAAACCATATGCTTAAGTAGGCAGATTCCCTGTCTT